ATGCTCTTACTTCCGATATTAGGAAGCTACTGGAGCTGTGCACTTTTACATCTAGATTGAAAATTGTTTTTATTAACTGCTTTCTGTGTTTAGTTTGTTGTTCTTCTCCCGCACCTTCAATTAGCACGGTTGGCTATGTACAGTGCGAAGTAAGTTCAACATACGTACATACAAAGTGTGTCTAATTATAATTCTTAAATGTGGTTCTAGTGGTGCGGCAGTGGGTGCTGCGGTTAGCGAACTGCGCTATTAATCCCTAATGGAAGCCTACGTGTTAAACTGCGCTATTAATGCGGGAGATTTAAGTTTGTTCCTCGGCCCCGGCCGATGTCAGTGGCGAGTGATATCTGAACCGGCCCTTGGCCTCCAGCCACCTTCTTCACCAACCCGCATTGTATGGTCAAACAATTGCTGACGACCGATATGGCGCAGGGAAAGCCTTCATTCAGCAGTCAATTGGCAGATGTCGGTAAATTAAGCCGCATGTAAAAAGGCAACAAAGTTTGGACACTGGGTAAATTAAGTGTGAGCTTTGCACATTTAAAAACAATCTCATAGTCTTTTGAAAGACAAGTTAAAATAAATAGTTTATATCTCATTACCATTTTTGCTTTGATATCGTTTCTATTTAAACCAAATGTTAACAACCAATCAATAGCTATTATAGACGCAGCAAAAAATGAATATGTACAAACATTATAAAATAAATGTATTTTAATGTTTTAAAACTACAGTTAAAAAGGGGATGGTTTTACTTTGCTCGAGAGGCCACACGGAACGAATTGGCACGCTCAGATGACCCGAGGATTGGTTCTGGTCAGCTGCTCACAATCCTTGCTCGTTTCCCTTCCCGGCGTGTTCCCAGGTAAATCCACAGCTGGCCGGCAGGGACCGGCTTAGGATAATCCCCGACAAGCCCTAAATTGTGGCGTCCCAGGACCCCGCAAGAGTCAGAGGGGTCCCATTGCGCATTACAGTGAACCCAGTCCAAACAGATTAGGTGCCTCGAAACACATCTTAGCCTCTGCCTAAACCCACATCCTTAGCAGCGGGGCCAATGCCAGCGCAAGGCAAACACAGTGTGTGCACTAATACGCCTTAATACACGACAATTCAAACCTTTGTGTGTGTGTGTGCGCGGGGAGCGCTATTTCAGCGGTTAGCGCGCTGCACTACGAACCCAGCCACCAGAGTTGGATTCCCGCTTATGGCCTCTAATAAGTACCTGGTCCAGTGTATAAACATTGCCACTGGGGAGACAAAGGTGGTCAGGTGTGGTGATGGCAATCCACCCCCTCGGGTGCCATGCTGGCCTCCATAGCTGCTCGCCGACAGCACTTACTCCAACAGCCTGTTAAAGGCTATATGGGGGATCTTTGTTTTTATGTGTACCGTCACATACTTTTACCTTATCTAGGTTGAGCAAGTGCAATCATATATCGCCTAATAAAATTATGTCATGGCTATCCGAAAATTTTCAACTATTAATCATGAGATAAATGGTATACTTTAAATGCAGTAGGGAAATCGTGTTAGCAGGATTAAATTATTTTTTTTAAATGGCTGGCAGATGTTGAAGCAACAAAGTCTTATAAGTTTCATGACAGAAGTGTATTAAATCGTGACAACTAGCCATGAATGTCACCTTAACTTTTATTATGACAGCTAATTAAAACCATGTAATAACCTTCTCTGTATTGCCTTGCTCGTAGATACGGTATGTTTTTAAAGTAGATGTAAAACGTCCAGACGCCACGTGGTGGTGTGTGCCGTTATTTGTAAGTCCGCCAATAACAATTATTTTCATGTCTATTGATTGCTAAGCACACACAAACAGACAAGCTGGATGTGTACAGCCCTTTTGTCAATCCACGGATGGGAAAGACCTTTACCATGCCATTGCAGCCAACGGTGCCCCGCAGCAGTCTATAATACCTGTTATTAAACATCCGGGTGGTCACTCACCTGAGGACTATCTGGGCTCAACACTGCTGAACTTGAGAGCATTACTGGTGATTTGTTCATTGGCTGATAAATGTAAATGAGCAACGTAATGCAAATTTTAATTGGAGTCTAATTTCGACGTTCTTAGTTGAAAACAGCTGTGAGGCTCCGTTCATCATATGTGGTGTGGCACCACCTCTAAACATTATCGTTAGAACATGAAGTTTGGAAAAAAAACACAATCAATTTACTGCTGGATGAAAGCTTCCCCAAGCGGTCTCCATCTCTGAAGGTCCTGTGATATAACCATCCACCTAGCACCTGCAAAACGTGCTAATTCCATCGCTCCATCTCCGCAGCAGCCACATTCTCTGGCACGTCCCTTCCCTCGGCTGGCATTCCATCGTTATCCTTGAGCACCAGCCTACATCCCTGCAATTGGGCCATCTGTGAAAGGGAGCTTCATAGCTCATCGGATTTCTCCTGGACAAATAAAGATTCTGAACATGATTCGACCAACATGTCATGCCAAGGCCCACTTACCTCTCTTGTTACGAGTATGTATTTTATAGTATGAACGCTACTAATAGCTCAGTAGGCTTTACCTGGTAAGATAAAAAAAAAACTGTTTAGTTTTATTTGTATTGACTGTTTTTAAGTTAGTCGTTTTGCTTTCCTATACTTTGCACTCCGTGTTTTTGTATTACTTGCTGTTGCAACGTTCTGATCTACCCCTACTAGACATCTGTGAAAAATAGCTTAACACCTCATCGGATTCCTCCAGGATAAAAAAAATATTCTGATTCTGAAAACCTGGTTTTGTATTAACTACCGGGTCAACGGGCAGCTTTAAAGCATCACCTTTATTTATACATGCAAACACCCCCTTATAAACAGAGACAGATGGGCGGACAGGTTATGCCAGTCAACTGCAGATACCAACATATCCAGGAGTACACACACAAATATAAAAAAAGGACCTCTGACATACTGAATCGCAGCTGTAACATGAAAGGCCGGGCCAAACGCTCTAATGTGCCGGATAAGCCCCATGTTTTCTCACACTGTCAGTCACAGCGGTTCAGCCAAGAGGCAGCCACTGCTTAGCGCTCGGCACCCAGGGGTCACCTGTTTCTCGGCTAATTTGACTTGGCCAAGGTAACAAACTCGTTTTTTTTCTTCCTCTCTCTCTTTCTCTCGTTTTTCTGCCCGGCTTCAGCAGGACATGAGCGATCGCAGATGTCCGAACCGCATTTTACCAAACCACGGTAAAATGTCAACTAAATGGGTTTGGAAAGGAATGGAGTATTTATTTATTTATTTTTCTTTAATAGTGAGCGCACGGCACTGTTATGTGTGAATGCATGTGGTATTTTCAACAACAACAAAGAAATAAGGGACTGGCTAAACGCAGCCTGTACCACGGCCCAAGTCTGGAAGGTCGTCTACTGCAAGCACGTCAACACACATACGCTTACCAAAAAATCTCAGATTTCAAGGAATGACGTATTCTCCGATTTAGAAGATGCCCATTTTTCCTCGTGCACTTTAGGTCATAAGTTGGAGGGGGGGGGTGGGTGGGGGTGCATCTTTTAAACCCGGCAACCGTACGTGTCACCAGACTTGTATGACCTAATTGACGTCAGCAATCCCATCGATGCTTCCAATTATGAACGAAATCCATCCCTCGTTCTTTCACGAATGGTGCACGAGTAAGGTCGATGTATTAGCGGCGTTAATGCGTTTTAATTATGCACTCACTTACAATCGGCCACGTAGGAAGGCAGCGTAAACAGTAATCCTCCGGTTATGAAGAAGGGTTTGTTGAATAATGTCGAGACAAAGCCTGCTTGTGGAAGATAGCATGGCAAATAGGTCCCTGACCAATCTGTGTCAAGTTTGGTAGCCTTTTCTTTGTACGAGTGCCTTTAATCCTCACCGTCTGGTGAAACCAAACGTGCTGGAACAGGGTCCTCTTGAACACGGGCCTTTAGACTCCTGGTTAAACAATTTAATTATTGTAAACACAAAGCCTTCCAAAGGCTGTTGGGCTACATGCTGTTAGTGATCATCTGTGATGGCCGCGCGGGAGCATTTGAAGGGAAGGAGTGGCCTGAACAACGCTAAACCACCCTTTGTCTCCCCAGTGCTAATACTTCACACACCAAAACAGACCGAGGACCAATTCAAATATTTGGCGTACCGATGTTGGCCGTGAGCGGCAATTGAACTCAGGTTGAGGAGTTCAGAGCACAGTGCGCGCTAACCACAATGATACCGCTTGCCAAAGAAAATACACACACACTCCAACACACTGACACAAAGACAAAGATCCCCCGTATAACCTTGAGCAGACATTTTGAGGCAAATGCTGTTAAAAAAAGCACCGATCAAGGCCAGCACAGTACACAAGGAGGTGGGGGTGGACAGCACCACACCCAGACGCCTTCGTCTCCCTAGTGCCAATCTTCACAAACCACACCAAGTACTCATTCTCGGCTGAGTTGACGTAGGGGAGGCCCAGGACCGGTTTAGATATTCGTCACTGGTGTTGGCCCGTGAGCGGCAATCAAACTTGGGTCGCGGGTTCGTAGAGCAATGCGCAAACCACTGCACTACCGCTCCCCACAACGCTACCACTCTTCACCCACGTACATTCGCGTACTCTCACATGCACACACGCCGCACGTCCTGATGGTGCTGCTACTGCAGCCGCTGCCGCCGCCGCCGCCGCCGTCACCACCAGCACCGCCGCCGCCGCATGGTAGCCGTGATGTATTACAGAGCCGCTTGAGTTACACGCCACAGGATCGCCACAGTTCCCAAAACACATCCCGCAAAACACTCGCACCCACGAAATGCGACACCGGAACCCTTTGATGCTCTCCGCTATTAGGAGCAAGGGAGCACACGCGTGTGCTCGAGGAGGCCCCCGCTAGGAGCGGGTCACCGTGGGGTGGCCATCCGGACGCTTGTGGTCTGTGCAGTCAAAATTCAATTTATATATATACATACACACGCGCGTGCGTGTGTCTGTGTGTGTGTGTGTGTTTTACCTCGGTCAGACCAATGTTGGGTTTCCGGATGAGGTTTTGCAGAGAACTGCTGAGGACTCTGCTTAGCAGAAGGTTTGCCGATTTCCGGATCATATCATCGATCTCAGTGGAGCTGCCACGCAACAAGGGGAGACAGAGGTTGGGGGGGGGGGCGAGAGAATGAAAAACAAAGAGAAAACCCACAGGAATTCCATTAAAAATGTCGGTCTTTGGTAAAAAAAAAGTCCATATTTGTTTTGTTTTGCGGCGTGTTTTATTTGCGGAGGCCGACACTTCAAAAGCACGATGGAATTTTACGAGAGCACCGCCTGAACACCTCGGATGAGGTAAACATCGTGAGATTTGAAGCAGCGATGGTCATGACATCATGGCAAGACACATCTTAGAAGACAAAGAAAAAAACTAGCACCTTTTTTTGTCTGCAAAGGAATTTCAGATTTGAACTATTCCTACAACCATGACCAAAATGTCATCTTTAAGTAGGTATGACCACGTTAGATGTGTGAGGGACATGATGTGGAGATATTTTTTTGTAAATATGATATTATTTTAAGAATCAAATAGCTTTTACTAGGAATCATAGGAGACAATTCGATGCTATTTGTATAAAAAACCATGATTCTCAACAAATACAATTCACAACCAAGAATCTGCAGCATGGTGGGAGGGGGGGGGGGGGTGCCGTGATGTGGTTAGCGCCCTGCGCTCTGAATCCAGTGACCGAGGTTCAATTCCCAGCCATGGCTAATATCAGTGGCACGAGTGATACCTAAACCGGTCACGGGCCACCCCACTTCATCAACCCGCATTGACCAGTGGTGGTGGTTAGATACGGTAAAACCCATGACCGGCACGGTGTGGACATTACTGAAAAAACGGCTGTAAATTGTTATGAATACTCCACGTGTAGATACAGTATAACCATTTAAAGCAAAACCAAGCACCATACATGGGTACTTCTGTAAGCAGTAAATATTCATACCAATACACTGACCTTTGGGTTAACCGTAAAACTGCAGTCAAGAATTCGAGCTTATCAGGTTACGCATACTTCATGGTCACAGTGCAATCCACGCTGCAAGCAATAGTTATTTAAACCTGCGTACAACACGACGACATGTATTTTTTGTCTCGCGATAAATGCGACAACAAAACTAACCGCGCATCGCATTACGCAATCCCAGATGCAACAGAATGCCTCTCGGCACGTACGCGAAATCATTGTGTGCGTGTGTGGGAAACACGTGGGGTGCACGACGATTAAGTCACGTTCGTTGCTCCCGTCACTGCGTTGTCACATGCGGGTGTGGGAGAGGGGTGGGTGGATTGAAACAATATCATAAAGATCGCCACTCCCTGCTGCTGCTGCTGTCGCTGCCACCACTGCAGGTAAACTTTTTACCTTTACCCCGTGGCTTGCACTTGGAGGAATGCCATAAACCTGGCGCACTACAATGGGCCGTCACAATACGTGCCAAGAAAAAGCAAGCCGTGCAATACAGGTGAACAGGGAGGTGCAAGAGATTGACATAATCTTTAAATGTCACAGCTCCTAATTCCCTTCTAGCACACACTTTACGGCCCCATTTTTTTGTTTGTTAAAGTGTGAAATTCATCACTCGGGAACTATTTTCTCTTTTTAACCGTCCAATTTGGCGCATTGTTGCTTGGCGATGGTCATGGAACAAAACCACAAGCGCTTCGGATTCCTCCCAACGAAAGGCACGACCATCGTAAGAGGGACGTCTACAGCGCGACTGTGACGCCCACCCCCCCACCCCCCCCCCCCCCGTTCGTGTACGGCGCCCGTGAACTCTGCCACAAATATGAAGCTCTCCGCTGCCTCTGACGCAACGAGCCAGTGCAGACAAAAGCAAGGACCCCAACAAGTAACCTTTCACGGACTATTTGGTTCAGGTTGTGTTAACGAGCACCTATTAAGGAGGGCACAACGCTCAATGGGGTGGTGTGGCCAGCGCCACGTCCGGCCACCTTTGTCTCGCCAGTGCAAATGTTTACACACAGCACAAGGCACGGCTTTAATTTATTTAAAGCCGAGCCCACCAATTCTATACATCACGCGCCAATGACGTCGCTGTTGTCAGCTGTGGCTAGGTATCGAACTCAGGTCACCGGATTTGAACCACGAAGCCACCACTGTCCAATAAGCATACACACACCATTAAAATTGTACACATTCGTCAAAGACTCGTTACCAATTACATTACATTTTGGTTTCAACCTGTGGGCATCAATTCTCAATGTATTATTAGAATTCACCTTAATGCAGCACCGTGAATATATTAATGACAAAAAAAATAAGATACGCATTGCTTGGATTACAGTGAGGCACATAATTGTTACAGATTTTACCATAGTGTACACAGTCACGAGTGTGATTGCTAGATGTGGTACGATATTTACACATTTTGAAAGCAATGTGCTTAATGAATGTATAACTGTAAAAAAGCCAGCAATGAAATTTAACACCTGCTACTTAATACACTTTACAAACTCAAAATATAGCCTCGAATGAAGACAAGAAACTGAACGATGAACGCAAATCTGAAGTTGTTTCAAATAAAGGTGGCATATTAAACGCAACCTCCACACAGCTAAGTGCTGCTAATTTAGAACATATTACGTTTCCTCGTAAATATCCTGCAAGGTCCAAATCTGAACGAAACGAAGAATTTGCTGCGTCACAATTGGCTTTTAGCGGTAGAGACTCCGCAGAGTCCATGCGAGAAAAATTATATTTGTTGTTCAAGCTAAAAAGTCCTTCGAAAAGTAAACATAACCCTATGCACTTACAGCACATGAATACACACACTCAGACGTAGGAAAATAATGAGCTGGTTCCCGAATGAGAGCGGCGTATATATGGAATATGACACGTAATGGAACATGCATATTGAAACCTTGAGGGAAGTTGTTGAATTTTTTATGACGTATTACCCAAAGGCGTCCACGGCTTGTCAACTACGACTTCCAAATGTGGGGACCTATGGGGAAATTACCACTAAAATATATATATTTTTCGTGCTATAAACGACCAGTGACAACCCCCAGTTTAAGCTGTCATACCTTACTGCTGGAATGTAAAAGTCAACCCAAACAGAACTCTGCGGCTTTACTCGGGCTAGCAACACGCGCGCTGTTTAGCTCTGTATTTCATAGTAACACAAATTACACAAATTAATCAGGCTTATTTATTCATCTGCAGATACCGACAAACTCTCATGAGCCCTATCTGGGACAGGGAATACAAATGATGCCCTTAAAATAAACATAAATACAGTTTGTGGCAATCGACTGAGGGCGAAAGGCGAGGTTCTCTTTGTCTCTCCAAACACACGAAAGCCATCGACTCACTCACGAGACCATTACTCTGCAACGCGTTCACTGCTTTACAAGTGCTATTTTGTAAAGGTGACGTGTTCGGCTGTGGCTCAGTGCGGGTGGGGTGGCTCTTCAGGTCAAATGTGCGTCTCTGACCAGCGTTGACGTGTACTAGAAGCAATTTGGTTTGAAGTGCGGCCCAATGAATACTGCCCCTCCTGATAACCCGCGGTAAAGTGCCTGCGAGTAGCTGCAGTGCGGTTTATCTTTGAGCAGGAGCGTCTGACCCCAATGGAGCTGCGTGAACAAAAAACGCCATCAGAAATGTGAACTCGTTCGCGAAGTTCGTCGTGTGAACAGTTAAGAATTCCAAGCACCTCCGATTAGCACGGTCCGGCTATGTATGGTGCGAAAGAAGTTCAACATACAGTGAGGGGAAAAAAAGTATTTGATCCCCTGCCGATTTTGTACGTTTGCCCACTGACAAAGAAATGATCAGTCTAAAATTTTAATGGTAGGTTTATTTGAACAGTGAGAGACAGAATAACAACAACAAAACAGAAAAACGCATGTCAAAAATGTTATAAATTGATTTGCATTTTATTGAGGGAAATACGTATTTGACCCCCTCTCAATCAGAAAGATAACGAGCTGAGATTAGAAGCACACTCTGAAAGGGAGTGCTCCTAATCTCAGCTTGTTACTTGTTTAAAAGACACCTGTCCACAGAAGCAATCAATCAATCAGATTCCAAACTCTCCACCATGGCCAAGACCAAAGAGCTCTCCAAGGATGTCAGGGACAAGATTGTAGACCTACACAAGGCTGGAATAGGCTACAAGACCATTGCCAAGCAGCTTGGTGAGAAGGTGACAACAGTTGGTGCGATTATTCGCAAATGGAAGAAACACAAAAGAACTGTCAATCTCCCTCGGCCTGGGGCTCCATGCAAGATCTCACCTCGTGGAGTTGCAATGATCATGAGAACGGTGAGGAATCAGCCCAGAACTACACGGGAGGATCTTGTCAATGATCTCAAGGCAGCTGGGACCATAGTCACCAAGAAAACAATTGGTAACACACTATGCCGTGAAAGACTGAAATCCTGCAGCGTCCGCAAGGTCCCCCTGCTCAAGAAAGCACATATACATGCCCGTCTGAAGTTTGCCAATGAACATCTGAATGATTAAGAGGACAAATGGGTGAAAGTGTTGTGGTCAGATGAGACCAAAATTGAGCTCTTTGGCATAAACTCAACTCACCGTGTTTGGAGGAGGAGGAATGCTGCCTATGACCCCAAGAACACCATCCCCACCGTCAAACATGGAGGTGGAAACATTATGCTTTGGGGGTGTTTTTCTGCTAAGGGGACAGGACAACTTCACCGCATCAAAGGGATGATGGACGGGGCCATGTACCGTCAAATATTGGGTGAGAACCTCCTTCCCTCAGCCAGGGCATTGAAAATGGGTCGTGGATGGGTATTCCAGCATGGCAATGACCCAAAACACACGGCCAAGTCAACAAAGGAGTGGCTCAAGAAGAAGCACATTAAGGTCCTGGAGTGGCCTAGCCAGTCTCCAGACCTTAATCCCATAGAAAATCTGTGGAGGGAGCTGAAGGAATGGAGTTGCCAAACGTCAGCCTCGAAAACCTTAATGACTTGCAGAAGATCTGCAAAGAGGAGTGGGACAAAATCATTCCTGAGATGTGTGCAAACCTGGTGGCCAACTACAAGAAACGTCTGACCTCTGTGATTGCCAACAAGGGTTTTGCCACCAAGTACCAAGTCATGTTTTGCAGAGGGGTCAAATACTTATTTCCCTCATTGAAATGCAAATCAATTTATAACATTTTTGACATGCGTTTTTCTGGATTTTTTTGTTGTTATTCTGTTTCTCACTGTTCATACAAACCTACCATTAAAATTATAGACTGATCATTTCTTTGTCAGTGGGCAAACGTATAAAATCAGCAGGGGATCAAATACTTTTTTCCCTCACTGTACATACCAAGCCATCCTCGCTGATTATCAGCAATGAACACCGCAGTTTCAATGTTTGACCAACTCGGCATTTTGGTAGTTTAAAATCCCATGTACATTGTATAGTGTTTGTGTCAATCCACCGCTGGATGATGGCCTCCCAACATTATGAAAGTCCTGGCAAGGTTAGGGGTTATGCGACTAAACTTAACCACGCTGGTCAGCACGGGGGTTGGTGAAGGGAACATTGAAGTAGGGTACAAGAATTGATGCTGTAACCACCACAAAATCCTCAGAAGCCCCATGTCAACTTGTTTATTATGCACAGTGCTCACTCATCATAATAAGATCCAGGCTCAAGCTGTTTAGCTTCCAGAGCTCTGACAAGATATAAACTATTCCAGGTGATAGTCGTAGGCAATTGAAATGACACCGAGTTGTTTTTATTTTAAGTATTCGTCCTATGAAGCGACTGGCCCCGAGCATGGGAACGGGTAATTTATGCCGATGGAACAGAGGCGCAAACGAACATGAGCACTGCCCAATCGGTCACGTGAGAAGCGTTACACTTTGAATTTTGACGATACATATAAGCTGCTGAAATAATCATGTAAATTTCAATATCGTGTATATGTTTAAGCTTTCTGATTAATACTGTGAACTGTTATAACAGGCCTGACTCAGGAAAATTATACTCAAATGATGGAAATGCAGTCAGATTTCTGAAACGTTAGACTGGATTATGTAAAAGGCTCATCCAGCTTAACATTTCAGACGTGATGTGACTGCCACGTCACGTGGATGAGAAACCCAGATGAGGACTGGAAGATATTTTATTGCACTGCATTGCCGTCCACAAGCATGCAACTTATATTCATACAACTTCCATCACAAGATCCGACGTGGTGTTATTCTTCTACATCACTTCATGATAACAGTTGCACCGCAATTCCCATTCTCCGTGTCACCTCTCGAACTACGATGCAGAGCCGTAGCAGCTTGACAAAGAGTGGAGTTTTGTAACGAGTGATAATGTAACTAAAGTGGCTACCAGAAGCAGATCAAAAAGGGTACCCCCCCTTTCTTAAAAAAATATATAGCTTTGGCTTCAACAAGAACGTGCCTAATGCTCTAGGGCATGAGCAAGCACAAAAGCGCGGGATCTTTCTTGGCTCCGCTGGAATCAATGGCACAGACTGCCGACGAACGCAGGCAGAAAAGCATGCGGGGCAGAGCACAGTGACAGCCCGGGACAAACGCGGTTCACGTAACGACGCTTTCAAGGCCTTAACCCTGCCACATGGCGGCTCACAATAGGGTGGGGAGGGGGAGGCGCGCGTCCGATAGGTGTGTGCGCTCCACGCCACAAAAGGTCCCTTTCTTCGTGGCACTGCTATCTCGATACTCTGCCATGGACTCACTGTACCGTGTTACATAGAGAGGTCAGAACATGAGCCGGCAATTACCCATATCGCCGAACCTCTGAGACGTGGGGGGCACAAAGGCTGAAACGGAGCGGCGAGTGGGGAGACCGGTGACAATGAGATATTTTCTACTTCTCATTACTGTCTTCACCCTGCCCACCACAAAAACTGCGTCCCCCCCCCCCAGCCCCCGCCCCCACACGTGTGGATTCCCATTTCATCTGGCAGCGACAAGAGATGTCAGGGGCACTCGCACACGAGCTCGTAAGAGTGTGCGTGCGTGTGCGCGCATAAAGCGCATGCAAACACATGCGCACGCAAACGCACAGCGCCGCTCCCACACAAGCCAAGTCTGGTGAACATGTACCTTGGTGCGTACGCACATGCACATGTGCACACACTAGAAATAGAGATTCCTTGCTTTATTAAAATTGAGCTTCGTCATTAGAATTGCATAACGTTAAATCAGTGGATTACATTATTCAACAATTAAAATTAAAGCAGCTTGAAAGTTGAATTGCTTCAATTGAGGACGGTAAAACAAGCTTTCCTGAAATTTGCTCTAAGTGTTCTTGCATGAGAAAACATCTGCCAGTTTTCTTTGCTGAACATTCTGAATTCATTACAACAAGACACCGACTCATTATGAAAGAAAGATTTAAGAACATGTAGTGAGATTTGAAAAGTTTTTTGTTCTTTTATCAAATTGAAGACTTTCCAAAAAGCAGAGCTAGGGAAATGAAAGGAGCCTCCTCTTTGGTAACGAAACCTGATACAACGGAGCAATGATTGTCTTGCAGCATTTTCCATTTCCAAGCAAGGCATCCTTGGTTGTAGTGCAGCCTTCGCCATGCCAATGGCACTGCGCCAATGGGGTAACTACTCTCCTGTAAATAAACCCGGCATCACTGTTTCCCGGTCGCCTTTACGTCTATTCCCGTCATCCGTCATCACACAGTCCGCATTGTTCCCTGTGCAGACACACAGTCTGCGGCCATGGCCAGGACTTGCATTAGGAGCGCTCCTCTCTTATGCCAGCCTCTCTAACGTCAAGTGAGGCGGGGGGGGGGGGGCAGGGGGGGGGTAAGGGTTTATCGCAGGGGTGGGCAACCTTGCCCCGACTTGAGGGCCGAACGGAACTTGAAAATACATTTGGCGGGCCACACATTTAACGCACGCCTCTCGTTCACTTCTGTCACTGCGAAGAGGCCCTTGCACATATTTCCTGCGAGGAATAAATGGCATTTGAGGCACGTTTCTTCGTGGTAGACATCATGCGGATGCAGGCCGCATGACATGAAGTCATTGGTCGTATTCCCAACCCCTGGTTTATCGTGCCGCACGCTTACGCGCCGAAGCACCACGTACGGCAACGCCAGGCGCTCAGCATGCAGGGTGTGTGAAGTGGCTTATTAAAAGGGTGGCGACAATTTATTTATATGGGGGTTGGGGATTTCAAATAATTTCCTCTTTCATCACTTGTTATATGTTTTTTATCCAAAACATAGATGCGCTACGTGCTGTGCGAACGTCAGGCTCCTTCATATAGAGCAGTGCCATCATCGACATCATCCAAAATCACCGCCATCCGACACACGAGCCAATTTCCTTGCACTTACTCCAAGATTGACATCCCCATTGGGTGAGTTCCCTCCCTTTGGCTGCCACCTCGACCGCTGGTCATCGTCCCCCCTCCCTTCTAGCGACGTGTTCTGCCCAGATGCATTGACTATTCAAAAAAGTCAATATTACACATCTCTCAACTTGTGTATGCGAACGCTTGCATGCGCTCATCTTCCTCGGTGTATCCATCAGTGTTTCGTGTATTAAATTATACATAACAAGCAATATATATTTTATAATACATTTGGAATTAGTTATACAATGTCTTGAGCAATAATACCAGCAAATTGTGTGTGTGTACGTATATATATGTACTTAAATTGGAGACTGAATTTTAAATACATATATATTGTTCCCCATTAGGAATCCACCAAACATGAGTTTACTCAGGTGATTACCACAGGGCTATAACGTTTCAATTGCAAGACAAACACGCTGACAGGTTCCAATAATTAAACCATGCTACTGGGATGAAACATCCACAGTTTTGCCCGCTACAGTCATTTGTTCATACGCTGCTTGGATGAGGGCATGCCCACGCCATGTCGGCCATGGGGGTTAGTTGACCACACTTCACCACATTGGTCAATGCACGTTGGAGAAGAATGGCGCCCAGGATTGGTTCAGACATGGCTCGCCACCGTGATGTCAGCCGAGGCCCGGATTCGAACTCCGAGCACCGGCTCATTGTGCAGCAAGCGGACCACTGCGGCAACGCTGCTGCTCTGCTGCAGCGCTGGGATTTCAAGAGACAGACTCTTGAAATCTCGGCATTAAAGCTACACGCACGCTCCCCCCTCATCCTCACGAGCGCCCTCGTCGCATCCAATGGGACGCTCCGATGTCCGCGTGCGGCTGTCAGCTCTGAGCCTCACCTGAGATGGAGATCTTCGGAGAACTTAAGGCAGGCGTAGATGAATTCCTTCACCTGCGTGTAAATGCTGGGCACGAACTGCGAAAACGGGATTTTCTTTGGGAAGGTTTGCTGTAAACAAAAGAGCCAAAAAAAAAAACCACGTCAAATAAAACACGAGATGTAAAAACAAGAAATGACGACATCCTTTCAACGGGCAGCCCCGATGACAGCATTATAAACTAAGAGGCTTCTCGAAGCATTGTAAGACGCGCAAGAAGAACGGCGGGTAATAATGCAAGGTCCGGTGTCGGGTATTAACTTCAGGTTGGGTCTACGAAACGTACCCACCGTTTGTACTCAACAGTGGGGAGTTGTATGAAAGGCACAAATAGCCGTGCTGAGTGACAAGTATAATCAACACGTCTTTTGTCTCATTCAAGTCGCGTGTTATTTCGTTCATATATGTCGGTCGACGCATTAAATCCGGAGAGACGATAACATCACGTTGCAAGAGCGCAAAGACCACACAAAATGTTTATATGCAGCACGTAGCAAAATTCTATCACGAAGAGCAAAAAAAAAAGCCCATTGTGTTTTAAGAATGAGGCCTTCAATGAGTGCATAATGATAACCGTGATGTATGGAATGTAAACACGCTTGCAACAAAAAAAAAATTGTACAAGACCTGAAAAACCACACCACGTGCGCACGGACAGATTCAACATTTGGAATAAGTCTAAGACACAATAAAATAACCGCACGAATTAAAAAAGTGCATGAATCCAAGACACCGCAATCACAATTAATAAAAATAAACAGACCAGAGAAAGACGTCTAGCAGGATGGGGATGAGAATAGCATGAGTTAAGCAAAGAAAGGGTGGCCATGAGAGTGGACCACGCATGAACGGTTGCCCAAAGAGAACAAGTGATGAAATGAGACTATGAGCTAAGGTGCAGCTGCATAGAACGTGGGCTTTGGCATTTATCCATAAATCAATTAATAAAAAGAGCTAATGACCATGGTGATATATTTATGTATGTGACTGCGTATGCAAACTTATGACTGCGTGTGTGTGTGTATATATATAAACAGAGCGGTGGCGCATTGCTTAGCGCACTGCACTACCAACTCGGAAACCCAAGTTCGAGTCTAACTCACGACCAAAGCGAGTGATCATTGTCGAAACCGGTCCTGGGCCTGGCCCTAAGTCAACTCAGCCTCAAATGAGTACCTGGTGCGATGTGAAAACATCAGTAATGGGAGAGGAAAAAGCAGTAAAACGTGTTGCTGACCACAAAACAACGTCATTATGCGAGGTGCCAGCCTTAATAAATGCTCGCGAACAGAACTTGCCCCAACAATCTGGTAAAGTCTATATAGGAGGCGGTGGGGGGGGGGGGCAGATCTTTGTCTTTGTATATATAAGTATACTTTACTTTATTTGCATAGTTGCAGTCACAATGAGTCCATCTGGACCGGTGTTGCACTCGCGGCCAACCGAGCAGGGGTCAACGCACGGGCTAATCTATCTGCGCCGGGAAGATTTCTTTGAAAGTCGCCGAGGTCCGCACACTCGGCGGCTGAAAGCTAAGCGAGCCCTTGGTGCCTGGGTGCCCCCCACCCCCCCCAAAGGGCCGGCCAGGATAATCCCCGCAAAGCCAAGGGGGGGGGAGGTTGGGGGGGGGGGGCTTCTGTAGGCGTGCAGCGGTGGCCCATCCCGTACGGGGGCTCTATGCAAGCAGCGCCCCGGAGGTCAGCGCTCGGGGTTAATCCCGAGCAACCTCCCAGGACCTCCGCGCCTAAGCCGCAGTGGCAGCCATGGCAACGGCGTTATTGAAAGTCGGAGATGAAATCGTCGGTGAATAACCGACCGGCGGCGCCGACGCGCAAACAAAAAAGTGGCGCTTCTCGCAAAGCGGCAAGCTGGCCGGGTGCGGCATGCTGATGAGCCATTATGGTGGCAAAACCAGTCTATGGATGACCCAATTTCGCCGTTAGAAGAACGTTCGGCCATATTTCGAGGTTGGCGAGCTAGTGGCTGGCTTCAGTTAGCCTGGTGAATGCCCTAAATGCTGCTGGTGAATGATCACAACAGGCAGTGCCATGCCGGACAGTGCCATGCTATGTGGTCAATGGTTCGAAATATAGAAGACCCTCCTACAGAGACAGAAACTGTCAGAAAGCAAAAGCCAAACATTGACTTAATTAGCCTGTTTAGAAACTTAACTTACAGCAATTGCGACGACTATATTAAAAAAACATTTGACACATTGGGCAGTAAAATATGAAACGCACATTCTTCAACGTCGTATTGGGTACAAGATGAATAAAAACGCTTTGTCTTTTGGCTTCTTATAAAAAAAATAAAAAAGATACTAATCAGATCAGTTGCTGGGGTGCCGTGTGACCTAAACCCCCGTGGCTTTTTTCCAATTAAATCGAAAAGCTACCAAGATGCCACGACCGAGCAGATGCACCGGGCAGGGGAAGAGTCAAAGGCAGCCCCGGCAGACAAGGTGGCCCCCGCCTTGAGACTGCGGTGGCATTTCGGCGCCCAGAGCGCCTGTCAGATGCACTTAACCTCGACCCGCTGCTTGCCCTCCTGCCATGTGGTGACCACAGATGTCCCCAGCTTTATTTAGGTGCAATCGGGTCCCCGGGAGACGCGGGACCTGTCAGCTCTGAGAGCCATCGCTGCATCAAACCTCCGCGCTGCGAGCAAGACCTCGCAGACGCCCCCGCGCACAGCCACGCGACGGCTGCGTTAATGCCTCCGTGACTTGCGAAGCTCTGTCAGCTTTAATTAGTGCAATTCACCAGAACCCATCTGGAGGTTAATATTCGTGTGTCCTGTCCTAATCCACGTGCGAGTGATTTCATAGCCACTGTGTCATGATATTTGCGCAAATGCCATACCCTTTTCACCCCTCTATTTCTGCGCTTGTAAACGATCTCATAATACCGCAATTTATTTATTTTCCAAGGAAGGCCTCAATGAGAAAAAAAGACTTTCGTAGAGGGTCCTGCTACATTTGGGATGGTTGGACAATGCCATCCCTTGGCCAGGCCCCACAGTCCTATGCTTACACTACCAGGCAAGCTTTGGTAGCCAACAATTTAAGCAAATACACACCAGGCTCAGCCTTAATAATAAAGGTTTTTTTTTTAGTTAGATCGCGTAAATATATAAATATGTTGTTAAAACCTGCCACCACCCGACACAGACAACGAGTAAGGGTTGTCACGTAAACAGAACGTGGCCAATTCGTCACTAGTACAGCACACCGGTGTGTTGGAGAGCCAAGCCACAACATTTACAATCCGAGTACGACGTTTCGCCAATAATTACAACTAGCTTCATCAGCCGACAGCCAGATTTGTGGAGAAGTCCACCTGTTTCGTTCCTTATATAGAGGCGTCGGCTCAGCCGGCTTAGCTGTTGACATTTGAAGTCACTGGGTGCAATTCAGGCAATTTTGTCGTTGGCTATATTTGGCGGTATAGCCGCAAATCTAGCAGGATTTCCAAAGAAAGGGTTAACAATAAAAAGTAATTGTCAAAGACAGAACATACCTTCTCCAATTCTGCATCCATCAGGGGGAACTGGCTAACTATTTTCCGATATTCCTCGTCATTGTTCACTGGAATTGGGCTAAAGTTATCTCTCTCAAATATTGCCCTGTAAAGAAAATGAATTCATGATTATTAACAATATTCAAATAAAAAAATGTACTTACATTACATTTTTTTAAACAAATGAACATAACACACATTTCCATACTCAAAACATGTATTTTATCACTGCAGTAACAATGTAAAGAACTAAAGTAAATACTTTATTTATTTTAAAAAAATCAAGTAATTTTGAGGGGTTGTAACAGTTAAACCCTCTTTTCCCTCAGATTAAATATATTTTCCCAATTCGATGACAAATTTGTATTTTTTTTTCTAAATGCATTAAATGATAGCACATCGAGAAGGTTGCATGGATCCAATGAACTCAATTTAATTTAACATATACGAATCTAAAACCATCGATTGTGGCGTGCGTGAGAATTGCGAGCTTAAGAACCAGACATCAATCGATGCATCGTAACTGCCCCGAGTAATCTCGCTGCTATTTTGCCAATGCCGCAACCCCATCACACTGTGCCGGCAAAGCGGTACGGAACCTCACCGGAATTCGGCAGCCCACTTCTTCAGCAGAATCTCACAGTACTGGTCCCGGATCTCCAACAGCAGGTCAAACAGTTGGTTCATGGAAAAGCCATAACCCTGTGGAACAAAAAAAAAATCAGCTCACACCTTTGATTGCAACAACCTGTAGACCACAAAACTCTTGGGTTGACCGTCGGCAGTTCTCCTGCTGTGTTTGTTTCACCTGACTGTTGCTTGTGTTGCAATCGAAACGTCGTGATCTATTAATTTTCTATCTACGTGACTTTACCGAAAGAACCAAACAGTACGAATTCCTGCAGTCACGAAAGCTTCAAATCAAGACTGTAGACCACTATTGCACGCGGTTTCCCCAGCGTTGCTAAGGAATCGCCATACTTTTGGATAGTAGCATTGCCCGTATTGGTTTTTTTAAGCGTTGTGTTCGTATAACGGTGGTAACGTGGAACATAGTTTTGCTTGTTTAATAAAACTCTGCTGGAAAACAGAGGGACACAAGGTGCAGGGAATCGGCGGGTCGAAGAGTGTTATTTCATTTTTCTGTGAAGAGATGCAATTTTGTCCCGTGCACTAACACAATCCTCCCTCAATGCGGTTTTAGAAGATATACACTTAGAAGCGCAATTGTAAACATCTTGCTAGTTACTCTAACATTAATTCAAGAGCACATCTCATTAATTTCTAGTGTCTTAGGGCAGCTGCCACGCGATATCTGCGACTCCCCACCATTATAAACGAGAAATCCGGGCAAGTCCAGCGTGATCGTGGGGCGCGGGAGCTCCCGGCATTGTAAAAAAAAATAACTTGACAAATAAACCAGAATTCTGCTGGCAGCTGCTTTTTGTTGAGCGTCAATTATCTCATCATTTCTCCAGAGTTGCACATCACACAGAATCGCACGTGCAGCTACTGTCAGGCACAACTAGCAGTGCAAGTTTGTGCAGAACGCAGAGACGAGTGCATTGCCCTCACCTGCACAGTGTCGGCAAACAGAACAATGAGATGCTTCAAGTCAAGAACCAGGTTAGGGTTTGTGCAGTAGGACTATAGCGCACACACGCACACACATACACGCAGAAAGGGGCACAAAAATTACACGAGTCAAACAACAAGGACGTCATTGTTGAATCCAGATGCTGACCGCGGTTTACAGGTTTGTGAATTATTCGTGAACTGCTTTGGGGTGGTATGCGGTGGGTCACGGGACGAACCATCAGGGTCCATTATCGCGGCAGAGACGCAGGTGCGCAATTTCTCATTTTCATTAAGAGCTGGCGGGATTTGTGACAACCCTGTGGACTTAGAATGTGACCCAAGACACGCTCAAAGGGCCCTGTGATGGGCCGGTGGAAATGAGCGGTAAGCTAACATCCGACCGAGGCGCTCAAGTCGACCCCAGCGGAGGTAACACGGCGTCCGTAAACTGTGGTTGGATGCACTCGTGGTTTACGAGTTACAGCACTACTCTCCCTCTATTCCCAGACAGACCTCAAACGCATGTGTCTATCCAGCTTCATATCGATATTTTTTAAAAAATGCAGTGAGTTGAGTTTCATATCGCTTACCTGCTCACCAATAGGGCAGTTCAAAACGCACTGATCTCAACACTGGCAAGAACAATTTTTTTTTTTAATGATTCATGATTTGTGGCACGGAGTGTGAGGACCGCTTATCGAAGTCTGCACGAAGGTAAAAGACTCCATTCCCAAAAACAGCTTTCCTTATTTGCAATGAAATACCGAAGTGTGTTGGCAGCAAAACATTTTAAAATTATAAAGCCTGCGGTATCATTCGCTAGTAAGTGAATGTATTTCAATGCCAGAGAATAAACCAAAATAAGAAAAATACTCACGAATACGTCAAAACACAAACTCTCTTCATGTAATGACAGATGCCTAGATTCCCCTTTGCAAAATATCCATGAGCTCTTCACAGCCCGTTGTCAGTCCACTGCTGCATGAATGCCTCCCCATGCCGTGTCGGTCATGGGAGTTGTTTGACCATAATTCACCATGCTGGTCAGTGCGGGTTGGCGAAGGGTGGGGGGAAGGGGGGGGGGGGAGAATCGCCTGGACCAGTTCAGATATCGCTCACCACCACTGTTAGTTGTGGCCGAGAATCGAACGCAGGTCGCTGGGTTCACAGCGCAGTGCGCTAATCGCTGTGCCACTGCTCTAATACACCGCTTCCTATTAATAGGTCTTTGGATGGATCAGCTGACACACTGAAAAAAATTAACCGCGTCTACACTACACCCAGACAACCGTTGCAATGTTGCGAATGCTGCTTCCAAAAGTCTCACAGAGTGTGTGCGCAGGACTGCGATGATCCTGGAGAGGGCCATGTCCCAGAGCTCGTCCATGTACGCCCGGTTTACCAGCCCTTGCGTCGTGTGCAAAATGTGGTCTTCAACCACAAAAAACCTGCCGGCCAAACCCACGGGCGGGGGAGGGGGGGACACGGGAAGGCAGGCGGGCAGCCACAGGCAGGACAAATACCCACCGCCGGCAAGGTCTGGATTCAATGGCGGCAATAACAACAACAAAATGTAATTACATTGAAGGAATTCTTTTCAATAAAACGACAATGAGTGGGGCCAAAAGCATAGAGCGGGAGAACTGCATTAAACGAACACCACAGGCATCTTTGAAAAGGCAGATGGCATGAACGGAGAGATAACGCTTTTGAAAGACGAAGCACGTTTTGGCTCGTTGATAACATTGCAAGTACATTCACGAATCCTTTTTTTTTTTGCATTTAACTCCATGCAATTATCCACACGTGCTCGAGCGTCAAAACAAAGAGTGGCGTGGATGACAACACCCTCTAGTGGAAAGCAGAAAAAGGCACTTAAGCGTCGCATTTGGAGGAACTTCCAGTAGCTGGCTTTTTTTGTGCAAATCAGATCAATGAGTAGAGGTTTTGAATTACAAGGGCTTTAGCTGCGGAAGCTGTTTGTTTGCTTGTTTGTTTGTTTGCGTGGCGGTTCAAGTGGTTGTTTTTTCCTAATGCAGTCGACTCACCCGACAATCTGGTTGAAATATTTCTTGTAGCCTTCTAGGGTTTCGTGCTGCGTTTCAAAGACAAAAGGGGAGAGGGGCGATCAGCTCATGCGACGGAGACAGTGAGACAATGCATGGAGCCGTGCGTGTCTGCGCGAGGGCATCAGCTGGCATTCCACGGAGACAGGGACCCCTCCTGTTTCGAGTTACCCCCTTCAAGAAAAGCCGGCAACTTCTCAAGCTCATCAGTGCTGCCGAGTAGACAAAAATAAAACGCTCCGGTGAAGTTGTTTTTGGAGGCCACTCGGCGAAGGAAAAATGACCACACACGGCGGAATAAGACTCCCTGTTGAAGCGCCTGAGAGGACGTCCGCTGCACGGAGGTGGAAGGAGCAGATGATCATAAGCCGCGATCAATCCACTGCTGGACGAAGGCCCTCCGAGTTATCACCAAAGAAGGGAATAAGCCCAAGAGCAACTCCACCATAGAGACTGAGCGGTGACATCAGCTCGTGCGCAGGTACGAGGTGAATAGTTACAGTTGCAGAACCGTGAAAAACGGCGGCGGCCTGGAGAGGCCTTCATCCAGCAGTGGATTGATCATGGCTGAAGATGATGATGGTTGTTGCAGTGACATTGCTGCCTTGCTGAACTGTTTTGAAATGTGACATGAAAAATAAAAACTATACTTTCTAGTTTTTTTGCAGCCAAAGCCAAAAACATGACTTAAAAAAAGTCTTGAGAACGTTTTAATGAGATCAATGTTGGCTTTCCTTTATTCCCTGTGCAGTGATTGAGGTAAATAATGCCACAGCCTCATAAAAACGTTTCAACTAATGGCCATGAGAAAATTAAGCTTGCTTTCCACTCTTCCCCCACCCCACCCCACCCCACTCCATCCCCCCACCTCTCAACGTTATCCCCTCAGACCCCGCCTGCACCCACACTCTCCGCTCTCTCTCTCTCTCGTCTACTCCTCCCCTCTCACGGTCCCACTCACTCCTCTCACTCTGCCCCTCTCTCCCGCGCAGCCACTCTGCCTACGAGTCTCCTCCAGCATCTCTCTCTCCTCCCCACAACCTGGGCCCAATCCTCGCGACGTTGGTCAGCGGCAATAGTCGAGGAGGGGGTGGGTGGGGAGGGTGGTCTCTGCAGTCGACATTCTCAAGCATTTTTTTTACTTTGAAAATGTCACTGGGAAAATTAGTGTTCAATCCCGGGAGAAGACCACGAACACCAGAGCAATCCATCATGCGGAGAAACATTGACCCTTTGCCGCACGGAGTGCGTAGGTGGCATTGTGAGTTACCATTGTGTACCACGTCTGGCCACACGAGGGCACCTGTGATATGAGTGAACAGACAGACCGACCAATGATATGTAATTAGAGCAATACCCCGGTGTACGTTGGGGATGCGTTCCTGAAAGGTGCCACGACGAATATCAAAACGACGTAAATTAAAGCAATTTACAGGGTAGGCACAGGGGAATGCCAAGGCGACGGATACGAGAAAGGATGGATGATGCTGTCGGTAACGTAAGTGTGGGGTTTAGGCGAGGCAAATCGAGTAGCGGTATTAATAAAGTGACCACGTATCTGCGAAACGACGCAAAAGGGGGAGACATGTAGTGTCTCTCCCTTTAATCCCCATGCCCAATGGCAGGTCTTGACCTCAAACTCACTCCAAACTGTCTTGATCCGGAGCTACCCTCTTCGTCACTCGATACAGGCTTCCTTCCTTCATGTCGTCAAGCGGTCTCTTTTTCTCCTCCTGTCTGTTGGCCCCTTTCACAACTTCCCTCCTCTTTCGAGAACCTCCTTTACCCAGCTCTCACCCCTCTGTGAATGCGCCCAATCCACATCTATTGCCTTTTCGGGATATTTCTCATTTGGCTACTCTTCTCGTGAACCTGCTTTAGAGAGGTCTCCCATTTATATGCAAATAGACTTCCGAGTTTAGTGGTGTTAGCGAGTGCCTATTTATGCCGGAGGATTACATAATTCAGTGGGTAGTGTGACCTGCGCACCCTACCCAGCCACCTGGGCTCAGGATAATCAATGTGTTTTGAGATATGCAAAACGAACAAAACGGAAAAAATCTTCGATTCCGATTAATGAGAACAAAACTTACCGAAAAAAGAGATTAAAAAAAAGAGAAACAATACAAGCAAGATGAGAATAAAAATGACAATTCCTAGAGCTCCGTGACATGGCGAGCCATTACAAGGGGGCTGATGGTAAAAACAAGACCCCAAAAAAAAGGACAGATTTTTTTTTATATCAAACACAGCCCTGAATCAGGACAATCGTTTACACCCATGCGACGTGCGATGTATGACAGGAGCAAGGGAACACCTACCATGTTGGACTGTGCTTGTAACACCAATCTGGCCTGCTGCCTCCTCTGATTGCGGTAATAGTTTTCAAACGTGTCACGCGCACCCTGCGACAAACACAAGCGGCAGCGGGTGAGCAAAACCGACGACTCGCTGTACAAATCGAGCGATGAACACAATCGGTTTTTATTCGTGAGGCTTATGTGTGGCACTTTCCACTCCGAGCCTGCGTGGAAACTCTTCATTCTTGTTGTCGCCCAACCAGATGCTTAAGCTTTCCACCAAGCGAGAGAACACTGAGACCGCAAGTCTCTCTTTCAAACCAGGGTTACAAAGGCAAACACAAGAACGCAGAGCAACTGCGTAACGCCACAATGAAGTGCAAGGTGTCGTTAATCATCATAACAACATTACGCGTTAGATGTCAGTAATAACTACTTACAATCAGCGTAAAATCAATACACTTAACAAATAGGAGAGAGATAAAGTCAATACGGAACATGCACAGACTAGAAGAGGCCGCACAACGATCAAAATATTTCAAATTGTGTACTGCGGTTATCAGTAAATATCCAGTTTCTTATAAAATCCAGTTCATCATGGAAACTAGGTTGGATTGACAAAATTTAGGACACGTTTTATCGACCCCTGAGACACGAAGGGATGATGCAATCCAAAACCAGTTGTCAATCTGCCCAATGTGGGGTGCACGGTGGACCACCACAACACGTGGGGCTGGGTGACCGCGATCAAGGCCAACACATTATCAGTCAATAATGTACGCAATTCAACCTGTCATCCCATTCGGTAGTTCTATTTAAACCAGGTGAGAGCCAAACGAGTTGAGTTTCTTTGTAAGACGAGACCTTAGAAGCAAAGAAAGGGAAATACCAAAGCAACAATTCTGCACAGTCACGTTAAAACAATAACAAATATAAAACAAATACATTTCTGACAATACAATAATATACATACATTTAAATATATATACACACATACGCAAGTGTAACACAGTACGGTGTTTTTCCAGAACATTCACAACTGTCAGTTGTTACGCAAAAGTAGCAAAAATGCCGTTGGCTCAGGGTCACATGGACATCAAGTCAGCCAGCGTAATATCATTCATTAACGCTGCCCGGAACCCTTTGGAAAGTAGAAAAACATTAACACAAATAAACCGTGTTATCACCACTAATACGCCCGGAGAGAATCTATTAGCTCATGCCAGCCAATTAAATTCAACAGAAATATCAGCGGAGCATGTGACACAATGGGATCCCATGAGGCTGCCCTTACAAGGGTCAATCATGAGTTAATGATATTTGTTTTACGTCTTTAGACGGCTGGGGAGCTCCATCACAAGGGTCACAAACCCGACTTAAATGGACCATAAACGCTTGGCTCGGCTTGAGAAAAGAAAGCACGGAGTCAAAGTGAAGTCATCCTTTACTTTTACTTCTACTCGCATAATATGATACACCGCGGTGGTGGCGACTGTTTGCTTTTGGCTATCGTGGCCGAACTGCAGGCAAAATCGGAGGAATGAAGATTCCTTTGGATAAAATAAAATAAAACTGAAGACACCGCGACACATACAGTGAATGATTATCGCATCGAAGCGTGGAAGCGAGCCCAGTACACGCTGCACAACGACAACGTGTTACTTTAGCCAACACAGGTTTGCTGAAGGTAAAAAAAAAACCGTAGCAAAGGTAAAAGTACAAGAGTGCAATTGCTGGCTCAACGCCGATGCGGGTGAAAGGGCATCCAAATAGAGGGAGCTCCAAGAGAGCCCCTCGAGAGGATGCGAGGCCTGCTGCTCTTCCAAGCTGGCTAGACGACTTGGAAGATGTGGGATTACCCACACTTTACCCTACCAACACGTGACCTGTTGATCGATTTACTATGGTGTACTCATTTATACTGCTGCTGGGTGGACAGAGGTGGTGGATGGTTGGTGTGGGGGCGGTGTTAACAGCATTGCTTCAACTGCAGTGCCGGGAGGTCGAATCGAACCATAGACCTCTCGATCACACTGCCAGCCAGTGTGATAACCGCCACAGCAGCATCTCGAGTGGAGGTTGAATTTCCTGCACGTGTTAATAAAGTATCTGAACTCAAGCAGAGCTTCGCATGGACACAAAATGCCTGGCTCTTCTTGAGAAATGCTTATATGTTACGATGGCAGTACCAAATTATGTGCATCTGTCAATAAAGAAAATAAAAGGTTTGAAGAATATGATACGAATAAGGAGCTCAAACTCTTATCACAAAACAATCTTATACTCAATCCAGTCAGTCATGTCAATGTATAATAGATGGTCATATGATGAGTACTTAATGATATATACTCCTCCACATCGATGTAAATATGTTTGGTGTGGGTCCGATTATAAAGTTTGCGCATGTTCGTCATCATCAGCCATGATCCATCCACCACTGTACACACAAAGTGCTTGCCACAAATGAACCACAATACCTTGCCGATATTATTGAGGAGCATTAACCATCGCGCGAACTCCGGTCATCTTCGCAGCGGCTTTCGGTTGGCCATCGAAAAAAGACCGTCACTGCATCGCTCACGCTTTCAAATGCGCTTATGCGGCCGTTTGGAATGCTCTTCTTTCCTATATTAGAAAGCAACTGAAAATATGCACTTTTAAATGTAGATAAAAAAACTCATTTCTTGAGAACTGCTTTTCATGTTTAGTTTGTTGCACCTCCGATTAGCACGATTGGCTACGTATGGTGTGAAAGAAGTTCAGCATACGTACATGCATACATACGAAACCCATCCCAAACGGCCGCCGTCTCACAGTTCTGCGATGCTATTAAGTCACCTGGCACCTACATAGGGAGCCAGTTTCATCACTCGATGATCAATGCAGCGGACGTACACATGGGCATTTCCACCTCCCTTGGCTTCCACATCATCGTTAGGCTCAACCACCGTCCATCATCATCATCCATTCAACAGATGTGTCCTGCCCAGGCCCTCTTAGTTTTCTAAATGTTTTAATATGTTTGGAATTTTGTGCATGTGTTCTCCAAATCGATGCGTTTCTCCTTCTGTCTATTCGTGTAATTGCAAGCGTGCACCTCTCTCCATGCATGTTTGCGTACTTTTAAACTTTTGTTCCATTTTATTTGTCAATGGTCAGGTGTGTGATCCATTTCATAATAGGTAATATAAAAAAGCAATAGTGAAATAAATAAATGAAATACACAGCCCCTTGTTAATCCACTGCCGGATGAAGTCCTCCAACAAAAGGTTAGTTGTGGGGCTTGTCTAATGACTATACTTCACCACACTGACTATTGTGGGAAGAAAGGGGGGGGGGGGGGCACAAGGTAATATGCACTGACTAAAAACCAGCACGTCACTGAAAAAACGAGGCCGCTTCGGAGAGCGCATTCGGCGCAAGCGGTCAGGGACGCACGCAGCTTTGCGCGATCGCTCGGCTCACCTCTTCGCACATCTCTCAAGCCATCTCGGGGATTAGGGGACCGTGAGCACCGCCGGGCCCTAAGTGACCTGTCTCGGCGAGGCGAGTCGCCGTGAGGTCAGCCAAAGGCAAAGGGGGGGGGTGTGGGGGGGGTTGGCGGACGCCGGCCGCCGCTCACGCCAGACGCATGGGGACCGGCGGACGGGAAGGGAGGGAGCGATGTTCCCATCGGCTGCCCGTGAAGCGCCACAGACACACCGCGTCGTCCTCCAGGAGGTGAGGTGGGAGAGAAGGCGATTCGTGGTAACAGCCGAGCGGCGGTTTGTCTCCATCCGAAGGAGCCTGGTTTTTTTTCTTGGCCGTTTCTACTTTTGACTGCGAATTGTTTTTCATGTTTTGCTGCCCCGCGAGCATTTATTTAATGTGTCACGAAGCAGACCGCAAATCTCGAAAGTCAGAATACCGAGTATTAGTGCTCTGTCCAGCTGGCTCCGAGCTTCTGGACTTGGCCAATTTGAAGAATGATCGTGTTCATTCGTCATTCCTCCCCCACCATCAATTTGATTAATTGATTTCGAAAAATAACACAAGGGCTTCATGCAGTTTAAATTTGAATCGGAAAAGTGTGTTTTTTTAACAAGTGCAATTGCGAAAATTCTCTGTAAACTATTCCGAGAGCTCCAAAAAAACGAAACAGATAATAATTTGTCTGCAAAAGAGAGAGCTTTAGCCTCCAAGATAAACATAAGGACGAGCAAATGAGACGATTTTTTTCTCCCATAAAAGGTTCATTTAAATGGGACAACGGCACGAATTAAAAAAAACTTAATTAATCTAAGACATAGCACAACAAATAATTTGCGGCGGACTTTGCGAACGCCATTAATAAATGCCCTACAGCCACCACCGCTATAAATGCAATGGAATGCTGCCTGTCAAAGCGATAGTATTCTGTGATCTAATCCCATCAATAATCCGCACCAAAACTAAGCAACAACCCGCCCTTGTGTGTAACTGTCTCATTACAATGCTTCGTGCTTTTTTTTCCTTGCCGGCGCAGATCACGCCGTGTCGACAATGGGCCCTTTCCTGGCAAATCTCTCCGCACTCGCATGCGGTCCATTTAGAAGCGGGGACTGCAACATGCTCGGAGGCGAGCAATAAATCATGGCATGCATCGTCGTGTCACGGCCTCCTTTCACTCTCCTCCTCCACCAGGCTTGGGAAAAGCCTCCTCCTCGCATGCGATTCCACAGCTGTTTTGTATCATTCCCCTATTGAAGCACGGTCCGCTTCTGGAGCCATTTCATTTCAATGAGGCAGGGAGATTTTAACGCGTTAAAAGTTGCACGGTCACTTACGGGGAAGGGCGCAGGAATAAATACATTTCCAATAACGTTTCAATGTAGTTCAACTTTTAATAAAGCTTCATTAGTACGCGAGAATAAAAAAAAACTGAGTGTACACGCGCGAAAAAAGGTTCCAGAAAGTATGATTTGCTATTAATCCATCATAATAACCAGATTGTAGTTTTAATCCGAAAATATTTAGCATTTTGGCAACGGAGGGCGGGTGTAAAGAAATCATTAACACTATGTCAATGTTCATATTTATACCAGACTGTTTCTAACCCCATGCTGGCCTTACTGTGAACCCCGAGAAAACCACCGTGGACTCCAAATGCACCCGGAACACAAGTGGCCACGCATTTTTCTTCTTATTCATCTTAACTCCACACTCCCGTCGTACAAAAGCAGAACAACGGACCGTTAAAAATAAAGTCCGTCTGCGAGCGAGCACAGTTCAGTGAGCGGCCACGACGTGAACCTTCCCGTCACGGCGGCGCGCATGGCTAATATTGTGTGTTGACACAGGTAAGAGAGCTATGCTGGTGACAGCCCTCCCTTGTTAAGTCGCCGTGCGAAGGTAATGCAGAGTGCTGATTGATTGCCCAGATTTTTTTTTTATAAATAAAATCAAGCCCGTCTGTCCTCTCGCAGTTTGAAACCAAATAAACATAACCACCCCCCCAGCCCCCCCCCCCCCCGAACAATTTTTGCTAAATGCACATAAGTCATGCAAATCATTTATCTCTTTATCTTTTGTTAACCACCGAGTATAATCTTTAGTTTATTTGATCGTCGCAAGCCAAGACGGCTGAACACGCATGTGAACGCATTCTGGTTTCACGCCAGTGTGGTTTTTGCGGTGTGTGTGTATATATAATGTATATAAAAAAAAAATCTGATCCGGTGCTGACATCGGTCGTCAGTAAGTGAGAAGTGACGGCGGAGTCACCGAGGACCAATAGACCCGATGTGACCATGCATTAGCGCTTCTACAGCGAGCGGAACAGCACGTATACATTTGCAGCAATGGGAGTGTGTACGACGTGCCGTGCGTGTAGGTAGGCGAGCAAGAACGCATGAGCACAATGTAAAATTTAGCTGTTTTCATAAGGACGTTTGATTAACATTTGGAAAACATTTTTCTATTAACAAAATGTTGTTCTTTAATATATATTTTTCATGGCTTAACGTGATGTCTCTTTTGTACACAGCATATTTAAAATTAAGACTGTATTGCGTGCACATCGTAAACGTTTTTTTATTTAAGTAACGTACGAGTACGCTGAAACGATTGTGTGCCAGCGTCAAATGAAATAAAAGTTCCACCACTGATGCAATGACATTGAAATCAGTAACTTGTACCATGAAAGCGTACCCAAGGACTCTTGTTTAAAACATGGTTACACCGCATGTTTATTTGATTACGTGCACACGTTTCTTTATTCCCTGACAATGTAAATCCGTGTCGGCAACACACACTCTCTTTGTGCGCCGAAACCAAACATTTCGGCTTGAACTTCACATGACTTCACCTTTCGCTCAGAAAACTTTGCTGAACTTTGCTGGCATACCTTCATTGCATTCCTATTTTCTTCCCAGGTCACCCCTACAGCGCCGCTCCCCCAACCCCCTCCAACCCCCCTCCTCACACCCCCCCCCCCCACCACCACTCCAACCAATTCCCCTGAATGCCCTTGTCTTCCAAACACCCCCAAGCTCCCATCTCCGTGCAATGCCCCCAGCCAACGATAATACATACGTGCAGCGATCCCCCGCGCTGCAGCTGGAACATTATCGGTCACGACCCGGTCCGCACCCACGCCGAGTTATGACAAACATCTCCCCGGCGGCACGGCCGTGTCACGTTTGGCCTGACAGCATTACTGCCCGTCCCGCCGCGGCGACGGACAGTAATATCCCCTGGCGAGCGCTTGTGAACGTTCCCCCCCTTGAGCACCTTCCCTCACCCGGGCAGCATCGGGATATCGGAGACAGGCGGATCACGCGAGGTCACCCGCGCATGTTTGCCGAACGCCCTGAGACGATTCATCTTTCCCCCGCAACGATGAGGCCGCGCAAGCGCGTCGATGCGACTGTGCATGCGGACCGACTGCCGGCCGACGCCTGCGCTCCTTGGTGCCCCGCTTTTGTAGGCAAGGCCACGCGGAGTTCACGACGATACGCGGGCCCAGCATTTGGACGCTACACGTTCATCAAAACTGTGCTGCATTGTTGTCCATCCACTGCTGGATGAGGGCCTCCTCACACTGTGTGGGTCGTGGGGGTTATTTAACCATACACCACGACACTGGTGAGTGCAGGATGGTGAAGGCAGGATGGTGAAGGCAGGCAGCATAGATGCAGAAGGATATAAGTCGAGTATTATACAACAAAGGATGTTTCTGCAATGCCCTCAGCTGCCCACTACATAGCCCCACATCAGCCTACAACACCCGTGCAGAGTCCAACTCAAAGTGACTTTACGAGACATCTGTGAAAATACTGGACATCTGTGACAAAGAGCTTTACAGCTCATCGGATTCCTCAAATATAAATAAATATTCTGATTCTGACTTATTGTAAAAATGAGCACCGTGATGGGCCTCACCCTCTGTTGGCAGCCCCATTCAGCCAGCAGTGGAAATTCCACATTCGCTTGTGGCAGGGGTGAGTGGTTAGCGCACTGTGCTATGAGCCAGAGGACCCGAGTCAGATTGTCGGCCCTGACTAACATCAGCGGTGAGCGATATCCGAATCGGTGGAGGGCCCAACACCCTTCACCAATCCGCAATGACCAGCGTAGGGGAGTATGGTCAAACAACCCCCAAAACCAACACGGCATGAGGAAGCCTTCATCCGACAGTGAATTAGCAAACAGAAATCGACATTGTAATATATAGTTTCTTTGTTGAAATTATGCTTCGTTTAAATGTACAAAAACGGTACGTGTTATGTATGTATATGAAGGCAATTTAGGGTTGAATCTAGCAGACAGAAGTAATACTGGATTCCCAGACAAGGTGGGTCAAATCTAGGTCATATTTATTTACACAAAAACTCACTACACTTAAATACTTATCTGTAGACAAATTTTAAAGTGCTCGCATATAAAGTTCATCTATAAATATGCTCGCAACGACATTTCTCGAGACATGACGTGTCGCTTACTCGCTTGCAACACGTTCCGTAAATAAGGTAACCAGGATCACGCATAACCCATTTAAAAGAAAAGGCATCGTGCAGAAAAGCATAACGGGGCGCAGCTGCACACCAACGACAATCACCCGCGCACAATACGCTCTCGTCGTCATCACGAGCGCTCGTTACGCGATCGGTCCGGCCTACGAGGGTGGCAAGGCCAGCGACCTCTCCCACACGCCGGGACTAAGCAGTCATCTCGGGCTGAGTGCACCCTAAGGGGAGTGGGGTGGTAGGGAGGGAGGGAGGGGATCTTGCCGCTGATCACAAAGGACCAATTGAAATGAAAAAATATGCTGTCCTCGTGGGCTGCAATCAGCCAAGACCACTAGAATGAGAGAGGGGCTTACATGTGCGCAAAGCCTCGCGCCACACTTTTCTAGCTACTTTGCTCACGCTATCCAACCGGCGATATATATATATATTTTGCTTATTCATTTTGACGTCTTTTAATAGACAGGGCAGCTCAATCAAAGTATGTGCGGCTCGCTCGCAATGAGCTGTCCCCGATAAGTACCCTATTGGGGTAATCGAGTACCTGCAGGTAATTCTCCACACATTATTGTCGCCGACATTGGCACGCAGGTGACCTTTGCTCGTGAAACACGAGTTAGGCGACGTCATTTCAGGTTTTTGGACATTAAGTGGCACCCACATAATATTCTCATTCCGGGTAAAATTACTTTTACAAGAAGTGAGCCCCTCGACAAAAAAGAAGCAAGCCACATGACGAATTTCGTGAAGCGAAGCTGCTTCGACATCTTTCAGCGGGGCCATTTATTTGGCCACGCACATCTGGCATCACGGCGGCACGGCATCGGGCAGGGTTCATTTAGACACCGCGACGCGGCCGAGTTTAGAGAACGTCCCTACCAGCACGGTGTAGATGTGTAAGCAGCGATAGACTGGCGAGAAGTCAACAAGGTCCTGCGCATTCAGCACCTGTCAGAGAGAGAGAGAGAGAACAACGCATTAGTGGTGTCACGTTACAGGAGGACCCAGCACCACGTGCTAATACACACAATCGCCACCACTGCCTTCTGCCACAATCAATCCACTGCTGGATGAAGCCCCCCCCCCCCCCCAAGCTTTCGCCATCTTTGACAGTTCTGCGACGTAAGCCGTCTCGCGAGTGTCCACGACACGATTTCATCGCTCGATTTTCACGGTGGACGTCCTCTCGGGCGCGTTCCCTCCTTTGGATGCCACTCCGTCGATAGTCTCGACCACCGGCCATTGTCCCTCCCAAATACTTATTAAATAAAATACAGCAAAAGACATATTGGCTATACATTTGTTAGTGTTGGTTGCGTAACCATATGTAAAACAAAGTGTCAGGCAAATCCATCAACGAATGAATCAAGGCATTTCATTACAGCAGACAACAAGAATCGTTGGCAAGAAAAAACACGGATGAATGGCTACTTTGTAAGAAAGCTTAATTCATTTGCGCCTGTTGTGAAGGAGTAAGTGGTTCAATCAACATAGCACCTGTGGATGTTATTACTAAAATATATTTTTCTGGTATTGTATTGCCAAGGGGTAGCACTTACGTGGCATTTTAAAGCACAACATATCAATAGCAATGTAATCCTTATGAAGTGGCCGGTTGGGTCAAGGGTCAGAGCAGTGACTGCTACACATCATACCTACTACGTGACTTTACCGAAAGGACCAAAGAGTATGGATCCCTGCAGTCACGAAAACTTCAAATCTAAATTGCTACAAATCATTCAACTAGGTTCTCAAGTATAGTAGTGGATGGTCTCAGCCTGCTCAACAATGAATGCACCCAAATAAAACATAATATTAATTACTCTGGTTTCGATTTAAAGCTTTCGTGACTGCAAAGATTCATCTTCTTTGGTTATTTCGGTAAAGTCACGTAGAATGAGAATAAAATAATAAATTAATAAAATTAAATTACACAATTAAATTCTCACGACGTTTCGGCCACAACACAAGTGGCCTTCATCAGGTGAAGGGACGAGACTGTCTCGAGGACAGCGCTGCAGCGAACACAGCCAAGCTCAGACCGCGACCTTTAAGCTGTGTGAGAAGAAACAGAGTGCCTTGACAAAGGAATAAGCATAAAAATTAGCATTTAATTGGCAGACTTAGCATGATGAACGGTGTAGAGGGGGTGAACATGTGCAGACCGGTCTGCACATGTTCACCCCCTCTACACACATGTTCACCCCCTCTACACCGTTCATCATGCTAAGTCCGCCAATTAAATGCTAATTTTTATGCTAATTAATTTGTCAAGGCGCTCTGTTTCTTCTCACACAGCTTAAAGGTCGCGGTCTGAGCTTGGCTGTGTTCGCTCCAGCGCTGTTCTCGAGACAGTCTCGTCCCTTCACCTGATGAAGGCCACTTGTGTTGTGGCCGAAACGTCGTGAGAATTTAATTGTGTAATTTTATTTTATTAATTTATTATTTTATTCTCATTCTACGTGACTTTAACGAAAGAACCAAAGAAGATACTCTTTGGTTCTTTCGGTAAAGTCACGTAGGAATAAAATAAAATAAATCACGACGTTTCGGGCGCAACACAAGCGTCCGTCATCGGGTGGTAAAGGCTTTATTTTATACCTACGTGACTTTACCGAAAGAACCAAAGAGTATGGATTTCTGCAGTCACGAAAGCTTCAAATCATAATATTAATTGTTATAGTTTAAATATTTTGTATTATTCTAGATGAGCAACTTTAAAAATATATAGTTTAAATCAACAGGCATCAGACCCTCTTTAAAATGCATAAACAAGTGAACAATTTGAGTAATAATAATTCAATTGGAGTGATTTCAGAAGTAGTTCTGTGATGGCAACTTCTAGTTCCATGTGAGACGTCAACTTCTAGACACAGGGCGATGCACTGCTCGGGGTTGTTTCAAGACGTGATGCCGATAATAAAATGTACAAAAGTAAAAGAAAAATGGTGCCAATTTGCAAAGTTAATTATGATCATCATCACCATGTGACTGGCAAATGAAGCCGCATCCTTGTAAATTGCCAACAGCTTGTAGTCCAGTGCAAGTACAATCCATCTCATTCTCGTGTGACCCCATTTTATCGCTCGCCCCATCTCCAGGGCCGTCCAAAGGGAGAGCGCGGGGCCCGGGGCAAATCCCACCGTGTGGGGCCCCCCAACGCCCTCCAGCTAAACCGGAGATATTACATCTGACACCGTGACGTCGAAATGTGGGCCCGCCCATAGCACGGGGCCCAGGGCGGTCGCCCCGATTCGCCGTACACTAAGGGACGGCTCAGCCCGTCTCCCATTCGGTTGATGCCTCGTGCACGTTCTATCACTCGGCTACGAATCCATCGTGAGCTGTGAGCCTCAAGTTTTCAATTGTAAGTTTCAAATAATTCTATACTTTAGGGAAATCTAGTGATATTTTTCTTCATTCCTCAGAGATGATAATAGCTATGGGCTTACGGACATTGAGAGCACGGGATTTACCGGCAATGAAAGCTACATAATCACTGCGACTTGGCGAGCTAGGAGGAAGGTTGTAGAATGTAGCTGAATCAGACCAACAGCTGGCACACTTCTTAGCTTTCCGCATGTGCTGGTGTCAATTGTCGAGGGCAGAGTGCCCCGAGAATTAAGCGCACACTCGTATGATGATGTGCTTTAATCAATGCACAATAACAGACATTGATCTGTAAACAACATTATTCGGCACTCCGAAGATATGTCTTAAAGTGATTAAAAACCCCCATTTGTAAATAAGGATTAGACTATCAGAAATAATGCACTGCAAAGTTGCTTTGATAACGGGACGTTGAAGCATTTTAATTTCTGAATGCAGTACATGGAGATGTATGGCCCTCTTGACAATCCACTGGTAGATAGTCCTCCAGACAGCATGCGGGTCCCTATGCAATGAGCTCCTGATGTCTTCACTTGTTCCACTTTTTGATGCAGGTGGGGTTGAAAGTTGATCAATGTAACTTTTTAAACATGGATAAGCATGGTTGGCTACGTACGGTGCAAAAAAAGTTCACCATACATACAATCATGAATGTCGTACCATATGCCCATGTGAGGTGTTGAGGCCTTCATCCAGCAGCGAACAGTTCGCGGGCTCAAGAGGATGTCTAAACGGCTGAACAGCTCAGCTGTACAAGAAGGGCACAACCCCACTACAAAAACTATAAAATGTTACGGCGGTTAAACTTTCTTCACGAACGGTTTTCACGCATCAACTTTGCTCACGCTGCCCCTAACAGCACCACATGGCGGTGGATTACTGTCACAGTGGCAGGTAAGGGACATTGGCAAAGCTCTTAAGCACGCGCCAGTTGTGAAGAAAAACCGTGTCCTCTACTGCACCTGAGCATAAACACACCTTGATACCAGTGGCATGCCAGCAATACTGACATGTTGGGCAGCCAGCCAACATATTTGCATTAAAAGCCACGTTATGAAAAGAAAGAATTTTTTTTTTTAAACGTCACTGACAATATTTGATCACTTCTCACTATAACCAACCATAACACAGGCCCCCGAAAATATTTGCGAAAAAAAAAAGAATATTCGCTAAAGATAATAAATGCGTATCCATCTTTCAATATTCGCAACTTAAGCCATAAACGCAGCGCGCCGTGACATTGTGACGGTTTTTTTTTTTCGCCAAACAAGATCCGAACGGGAGACAGTGGAACATTATTTTCAAACGAAAGCCAAACAAACCCCAAGCAATGTATGCGTTTCTGCACGTTGCACCACTTAGCAGTGAAAACAAACACGACGCTGCCAAATCGGACGGGGGGGGGGGGGGCGTGATGCTGGCGGGCCTGGGAGCCTACTTTTAGTAACGCACGGCCAGAACGCATCTGTACGAGCGATTACGTGAAACGCGATAAGAGGTCGGAACGACGGAACACACAGGCAGGCAAGGCATGCAACTTAAATAATAATAAAACAATTCGCTAGAAACACTTTGTCTCATGGTCTATTAGACTAAATATCCTGAAATAACGATCATGGCCTTTGCCATAGATAATGCGTAGCGAGCGAGCGAGCGAGCGTGCGTGCGGAGAGGTGGCGGCGGAAAGGTTAACACACCGCGCTACGGACCCAATGATCTTAGTCCGATTGCCGGCCACGGGAATCGAGTGATATTTGAACCAGTTCTGGAACGTGCCTAGGTTGACTCGGTCATAAATGAGCATGTGATGCGATGTGTTACCAACAGCACTGGGGAAACAAAGGCAGCCAGACGTAGTTCTGGCCAAATCAACGTGCTCATGCAATGTGCTCGCGAACAGAACTCGGCCCAACAGAGCGTGTTGAAGGCTTATACAGGGGATTTTTGTCTTTGTAAATTTCTAAAAACATTTTGCATTGTGAGTGTGATGCCATTGTGGCTTATTTGACTTGAATGGTTCTGTAGGAAACCGAGCATATTATCTTCTGGACAAAGCAAGCCATCCGGAGCAAAGTGTGAACTTACAATTTTGTCCGCTTCATGCGATCCATCTTTACATATACCTCATAAACTGATTGCTAAGCATGTAACGAGGTAATCTAATCGATTAAAGTAAAATCTTAAGCTCACGGTAAAAAATATTGAATTGTGCGATGAAGAATGCGTTATGCACAGCCTATGCAAATTACGTGAACATTTTACAGTTAAGCCAATTTAAGTGAACGATACTGAAGGTCAAGATGGAACTAACAAGAAGCAACGCCAAGGAGATGGTAAAAATTTGACGAATAATTTGACTGCTGCATTAAATTGTGACCACTGCTCATAAAAATGTATCAAATCACCGGGGAGGTGAAGCAATACATGGCAACGTATTACTTAAATAAACATATTTATGAGTCCAACGACCTGAACTTGATTCCCGGTCACAACTATCACCAGTGCCAAGTGCCCTTTAAACCAGACCTATCCCCCCCACACCCCCCCTTCACCAAGCCACACTGACCAGGGTGGTGAAATATGGCCGAACGAGCTGTACAACTGACACGGCGTGGAGAGACCTTTTCATGCAGTAGTGGAATTGGCAAAAGACTGTGTACGACTATTATCATTACACATTATGTAAACCTTGCGCAAGGCAAAACTCCGTGCCCATTGCAAACGTGAGCAGTCAACCGGCAAAGAACATCCCACACTCCGGGCATTCCGGAGCCCTCGATTTTCCCGGACGTGGAAACCACCAGCGCTGGGATGATGTGGCCGACTGCCTATGCACGGTTGGTGGCGGTATCCAGAAGGCGTTGAGAATAACTTGTTGCCGTTTTTGTGGTGCATTAAATCAAAAAAAGCGCTTTTTTTTTTCTTTCCCCGAAGCACGTTTGCACCCCGGCTCAACCGCCCCGTTTACGAGTTTCGCGTCTGCGGCGAACGGGGTTGCACCGTGATATCCAGCGGGCAACGCAATAATAAAAAAACTCCGAGAGCCAAGTTGGCCAAAACAGCACGGGCAGCAGCAGCAGCAGCAACAACAACAAAAAAAGAGAGAGGCAGACTCCAGAAAGTCACCGCTTTATCTGATGGACCTGAACGTGACCTCGGAGCAAAGCGCGTCAGAGATGGACGAGATAACTCGAAAATTACACGGACGGGACAGGAGGTTTCATATGGCCGACAACTCTCATCCCGTTCCAGCACGTCTGTCCTCATCAGTGTATAAACATAGGGGGGTGCAGCCCGAGGTCAGACGCGGCTGTAACGTACACACGGCCTCTTACTAACCCCCATAAATACTAACAAAAAAGAAATACCCATTTGCTTAACCCGGCGGACGAACCAACAGAGGGCACCGCCGGGGGTTCGACAGAAAAAAAAATAAACGCACCGCCTTTAAATAACCGCACGTTCCAAGAAACACCAAAACGCGACCGTTTGCTTAACCTTGAGCAATGTGGTCAAAATAAATTCAAGGATTTTTTTGTTAAATTCGTATAAAGAGTAATCCTTTATGTAAGAGCGTATAAACACAGACGTTTAAATGTCACTTTTGAAAGAGGCTGCACAATATTAGTGCTGTGAAGAGCCATGGTTCAACCGTTCTCATAAATAAACCACGTTTTTCCATCGCAAAGACCTTTTGCAGTATTTCAGCAGCAGCAAATGCACGCATGTATCTTTTTAACACGGCAATAAGTGGAATAACACGAGTTGCCCTGGCGTTGTTTGTTATTTATCGCACTTGAGTAGAAAATACGCGCAAAAACGCCTTTTCATTGGCAGCACATTTTTATTTACTGTGCATTGTACGCAGCCATCAAGTTGAACGGGAATGACGCCTCGAAGTGCAAGGAAACGCTCGCCACATGGGGGCCTTATAAAAATGTAATTTACGCCATCTCATAAAACTCTGCCCGAAGCGATGTGTACGACCGCAATGACAGCGCAAATTTTCTGCACAATGCGAACAGATTACTGACCTCTGCGCAACCCAGCTCGCGCTAGGAACCTGCACCACGCACGCAAGGCCGCCGTGTGGCCCGAGAAGTTGTCATCGGTGCGGAATCAGCACGACAGAGCTGAGATTACCGGGTCTCTTTTGTGGCAACTGTGGCCTCGGAGTGACCTCATGGAAATCAGCCTAAAGTACTCAACTCTTTACCCCCGCTATTACAAGCACTTCAAACGAATACGCCACGGCAGTGGGAGCTTTACACGCTTTGATAAAAAAAAATCTGGCTGCACCCCGTGTAGCGTTCGCTGTTGCACAACACACAAGTGAATTTATTGAGTGAAAATTGCAGCGATATTACGTATAGGGTTACGAGAAAATTGGCACGCGGCCACAACCATCGGCTTTGTGCGGCCGTTGGAATGATTAGTTTTTTAGGCGCTTGTTTAAATCAATAGAGTATATGTTTGGTAACAAAACTACTCCAGCTGGGCTCCATGCATGTTGTTTTTTGTTGTAGTAAAATGTTAATATAGCGTGCTGTTCGAGAAATCGTTGAATTGGGACGGCACCTGAGTGGCACATGATTCGCATGTGCCACTCGTGTGAGTACATTTATCACAATTTAGTTTTTTTGTGCGTCAAATAAAGTTGTGAATACTTGTGAACACAATATATTAATGTTACAAATCAACACGAACACTTTGTTAACCCATATGTGAAGACATCAAGAATGATAATTTATTTAAAAGATGAAGATAAAAACAAGCCGTTTTTTTTGCTTGCCAATGTACGTGACGGAAATACGTCACTTTTAAATCGGCAGTCAATACTTGCTCCACGGGAAATTTTACATCTACTTTAGCGGATCAAAGGCTTTGGAATTCCTTGCAGCTATAGAAAATGAACCATAAATTGGATGCAAACTGGAATGCACGGTAAGTCATAGCTTAACACGATTCTTCTATTCGAGAACACTTTTCGCACAATGCGGAATTGCGCACCGTCATAACGCGGTTTCTGAGCAGTCGACGACAATTTACTTTCTTGAGCTGTGTGGCTGAGCGGTACAACAATACAGTACGTGGAATGATACAGTACGCAGCATGCCCCCATCTCAGTTCTTTGTCCTGCCATGGAATGACTGCAGGCTGAAAGTCCAAATGTGATTCAGTAAAGTAATTCCTCCCTTAACGCGGTTTGTCACTCAATGCGGCACTTTTAAGGAATGCATCTATCATGTTCAACGAGGGATTACTGTTTTTAATTAATGGCTCACTGGAGAGTATGATGGCCACTGGACTACCAAGCTACCCCAAATTGTGACTGTAGGACAGTGTTCTTCATTGCAAGGCCTGCGGGCCACTGGCGGCCCCTGGTGGCATCTAGTGCGGCCCCTGACAATACACGACCTGTGAAAACACCGCATCGTGCTGTCCAACCCAATGGTTGCAGCCCTCATACCGATGTCTTAAAGTGGCCCCCCTATGAAAATTAGTGAGGAACACTGCTGTAGAACAGAACATGGGTAACCACTCTATGCATGCCATGTATGAGTGAGCACCCATTAATTTGTGTGGGTCTCCTCTGCGTGATCAGGTTTTCCTCCCATTACTCAACACGCCCGTGCGTGGCAGATTTCAAAATCTAGGCAATGTCTGAGCCTGGTGAGTTACTTGGATGGGAAGGCTGCTTGGGAACACCATGTGTTGTAGGCTTGCACTGAGATGGCCAAGATATGGCAGAACAGCAAAGGATTATTCAATAAGTGTGGAGCTTCGAGTGTTGCCCCCCTCGTTGCGTGTGGAGTTTCTCCGGTGTTCTCTCACATGCCAAATTCTCATTTAAAGCACTGGCAAAACATTTGAATAAAATGACCCTCCTAAACGTTATTTGAGACTCAGTGACTCTATCCTGGGTAAATAAATGAGCAGCGTCTGTTTTCAAAGGAGGTGGGGAAAAAGCAAGAGATTCACAGTGGGGTTGGTGGCCACACAGAAGTCAAGCGATTCACGGGAAGCTTGAGCTCATTTAGAGATTTTAACCATTCTTGTGCATTCCAACTGAAACAGGGAACATTCAGGTGGAAGCTTCTTGCAGCCTCAAACTCCAGCGTGCCAGGATTTTCCTCTCAACTAAGTTTGTGTGTGGTTTACCCATGTTTGGATGTCAGTTTTGTAAAGTACGTCAAATATTCGACTCAATCGTGACCAAGATATTGGCGGCTATATAAAAAGGTCATATTTGTGAACATCTATGGACAATGACAGTCATGACAGTCACACTGCTTTGAACATGACAGAATGCTTCACTGTGCTTTAGAAGTGAATGCACACGAGAAAAAGGTTTGTACTTGTGAACATAGAAAATGACCGTTACACTGTGCACCGGGTACGGCCAGTTCAACGGACACGGTCGGAAACGCGACGTTGCACTGTCATAAAAAGGCAGATACAAGAAAATGCGAAGTGCACCGAACCGGCCACCCACCTCCTCCTCGAGCTCCTCTTCCTCCTCCTCCTCATCCTCGTCCAGGATGCCCGAGTCCTGCTCGGACGCGGGACTGTTTCCGGCCGGCTCGGCGTCCGAGCCGGGCCCGACCTCCCTGCCGCGACCTCTCTGGGCTTCCGCGCTCTTCTGCCGCTGGTGCACGGCGCTGTCCAGGCTCCGCTGGCTCTGAGCCTACAACGGACATGCGCGTTCATTTCATTCGGGCTCGTGACAGTCGCCGACAGCCGCGACCGACCCGCTGCTGGAAGTAGGACTCCCGCGAGCCGTCGTCATTCCTCGTGGTCCCACGGTGCGGGAATCCATCCAGCTGGTGCACACTAGTCGATTTCATCGCCGCGTTCCCAAAGCGGACGTCTTCCTCTCGCAGCCACCACTCCATCGTCAGTCTCGACCACGGGCCATCATCGCTTCGAGCGACGTGTCCTGCTCAGGCTCACTTACTTTTCTTAACGGTCAATATAATGGGCGCCAAGGTGGCGAGATGTTAACTACCTCGCCTGGTAAACGGAGGTCGTGGGTTCGATCTCGGCCCTGACACCTGCATATTTGGATTTTGCATGTCTCTCTTTTCCACGTTATAAGCCACTTTGTTGAGCCATCATTTGTGGCCAGGTCGCTTCTGAAAAAGAGCTACATAGCTGAGTGGGCCTTACCTGGTAAAATAACAATTGTTCATAGTTCTAATATCTCAAACTTTTGCATGTGTTCTCATCCATGTGCTCCTCTTTCTGGCTCTCAGCATCTCCCAAACACTCGCCTCTCCATGCATGTTTGTTATTCAGCTTTTATTTAATTTCCTTTGTCATTTCCCGTGTCTAGATCAAGTCAGAGCACGAAAACTGTGCAGATTAAAAACTATTTTTCTGGAGCCACATTGCTTTTCATTGTCAGGTTCAGAATCCAAAACTGCCCCAAACTGCTCTCATTTGCCTCTGTATCATATAATATTTTGATCTGTTTTCAATAATTTCCATAGGAATAAATATTCTAGATCTATACAATATATATTGCAGGGATGCAACTAGAAAATACATACCTCGGACAATTGCTGAAGGTAAATTAACGACCGAAAAATCCTATACGTGACAGATACATACATTTAATAAGAGATAAATTGTTCCAAAAAACATATTCCAAACACATACCAAGTTTTGCTATCGTACAATCATTCCTTCATAGTCACAGTAAAACCGTTTCCCTCCCACCCCCCCTCCCACGGCCGTATGTCTTAACACTTATAACCTCTCCTTGGACCATTAAAGTTACATTTTTTGTACACTGTAGCACAAAATGATATTGTCAAGTCGATTATTATGGAACTGCAGCCATAACGACGAAAGGTGTTAACAGCACCGTGTCTCAGAGTTCGAGTGTCAACGTAGATCCGTTCTCAACGGCCAGCGTGTTGTGATACGCTCGGTTTAAAAATATTCATTAAAAGAGCGATAACCCCGGGTTTACGACGCTCGCTGCGACGAAGCTCTTGGTGCTGTGCGGCGTCCTCGTTGATTCCGGACGATAGCAACACCTCTTGACTTATTGTCATCGTGGCACGTGATATGACGGCGACGACGGGATTAGGCCTATTAGGCTCTAACCCCTATATGGAGACGGGAATGGCATGGCGAAATGTTCAATGCACTCCCGGCCCAGTGACCCGGGTTCGAAAAACATCTGTACCGCCATCGTCCCCGAAATAATATGGGCCATCGCTACAAAAACACTCGGGGTAATACAATATCCAACGGCGTTATTTTCCAGAAAAGCGAGTTCTCCGAGCAGTTTTGTTCGTGTGAAAATTAGCTGCAGTACTGTACTGTGTAATGCTGAAATTACCGGCTGTTAGGCTACAGCTGAAAGGTCAGCCGCTGTGGCATTTACGTCAAGTGCTTAAGTAGCTCTGAGAGATTGCGATGTGCTACCATACAATCAGCTGTTAGGCGTCTAATGTCTCTCACCCTTTGTCAATCCAATTCTGAATGAAGCCATCACCACCCACACTTGTTATTATAGGAATTTGTTTGAAAATACTTCCACCAACCGAATCAGTACTAGCTGGTGAAAGGGGAACCCGGGACAGCATCAGATATCACTCGCCACCTATGCAAGGCGGGACCAGGAATCGAACTCAGGTCAGCATCTGTAACGTGGCGCACCGACCACTATGCCAAGGTTCCACCCCAGCTGTTAACATGCTGGTGATAAATCAACAGGTTGGCGAAATTCAATCTAAATGATAACAGCTCTGAACTTTTGACAAGCTTCACGAATTTAGTGACCCACAGTGACACCAGCACTCCAAAGTCAAAAGTACAATTTGTCATGAAGTCTGCGTAAACCAGTTTGTTTTACATCAGGCGGTAGAAGACAGCAGCAGTAATGAGTCACATCCCACCTGCACACCCAAGTGCAGCATTGTGCAAGTGAGGATGAAGTGAGCAAATTTAGAGTGTGCACAACGTCCAGAATGAGAAATCCGATAGAGTAACGCACACATATATAAAGTACTAGCTGTACTACCCAGCTTCGCCCGGGACTTGGATCCACCACGCCCGGCCGCCTTTGTCTCCCCAGTGGCGATGTTCACACACCACAGCACTTACTCGTTTGAGGCTGAGTCGACCTAGGGGAGGCTCAGGACCGGTTCAAATAATCGTCACCGGTGCTGGTGGTGGCCGTGAGCGGGAATCGAACTCGGGTCGCCGGGTTCGTAGCGCAGCGCGCAAATCGCTACGCAGTCGGTGCCCCCCCCCCCCACACACACACAGGATAAAGATCCCCCGTGTAGCCTGTGAGACTGTAGGGGGCAAGTGCTGTTAGCGAGCAGCACCTATGAAGGCCGGCACGGCACACGTGGGGGTGGGTGACAGCACCACGCCCGGCCGCCTTTGTCTCCCCAGTGGCGATGTTCACACACCACACCAGTTACTCGTTTGAGGCTGAGTAGACCTAGGGGAGGCCCAGGAGCGGTTAAAATAATCGTCACCAATGGTGGCCATGAGCGGGAATCGAACTCGGGTCGCCGGGTTCGTAGCGCGACGCGCTAACCACTACACTACAATGCGTTACGCTTCCACATGCGCGGGTCACGTGACAGATTTGATGTCACAGCTCACTTGCCGTGCAAAAAAATATGCATATTGAGCTGCTCCCCCCCCAAAAAACCCCACAAAAGTCTATTTTAATAATGTTTGCATGGTGTACAGTCTGGAAAGTACCCACATGGCAAATTTCAAGTTTGTTGCATGTCGGGAAGTACGCTAAACATTTTGAACAGACACACATAATCACAACTTTGCCTTTTACATATATGGAGACTAGTACAAACGTAGACCTCTGAAAGCCACCGACGGACCCCCTGATCAACCCTCGAACCGATCCACCAATCCTCTGAATGTTCCTCGGATTCCACCCTTAGATGTACTGACCCTCGAGAGTCCCTGCGTGAAAGCCGCATTGAGCCTCATTAGAACATCGCACGATAGACGCAACTATTTCCGAGACTGACGGAGAATTAAGAATGGCTCACAGTGCAACTGTGGTTAACAATCTCAAACCGTGGACCGCATAGTAACGCCACTGCCCACTCCGATCACTGACCGTCAGGGTTTCAGATTTTACCAGGTCACTCGCAAAGCCGTTCAAGCACTGGCTCACTCACCACCAAGACCATATATACGTTACCGAACAACTCTCCCGCCATACGAAAGAATAAGATGTTGTTGGTCAGTCAGTCTGTTTAACGTATCTTTATTCACGGAACCATTTTTTACCTTATCCAAAAATATTTCTGACGAATGCATTCAAAATCTAGATTCAGTGACGAGTGCAATTGCTTGATTGAAAATTATTTTAAATTCGAAGGCTATTTACAGTTTTTTTATCGCACCCTTTTGTGGAAATTGTACATCTTTTTTTTTTATGAACGCCAATGTGTGTTAAAAACAGCGATCGTATCAACAGAGGTAATTCTGACATAATGGCCGCTGCGGTTTTACCCGCTGCAATTCCCGACACTGTAATCGCTCGGCGAAACAAAACTAAACCTCGCCGATGCCTTGCCGGGAAATCGGCGGTCGATCGCCGTGCGCTCGGCAAGCATTGCACGCAAGGCGCGTGGATGCTGACGCGCGGCGCCGTCCAACACGAGGATCATCGCAGCTTTACGGAGATAAATGTAAAAAGTGCGAATGTAGCATTCGACAACGTCAATCCGATGTTTAAGTTAGGTGTGGATAATAAAGCCTTTGGCGTAACTTACCGCAACGCGCTACGAAATCGCATGACGCAAATACACGAGGTGCGCATATTTAGGTCCCACCATGAAATCCCCTGATACGCCTTTTTGTTAAACGCTGTGTCATTTGTTCGTTAATTAAGCAAGTAAATTGAGGATTTACGTAATGAGCACAATTGTGTAATGGAAGAGCTTTGAATACATTTTAATACCGTGTATCGCTAACTGAATCATAAAACCTGCCAGTGATTATGGACATTTGGTTGTGTGATAGGCAAAGAAAAATACTTGCTACACTACAAATTTGATGTACATAAATGTATCTATTTGATTCTTAAACTGAAGGATATTCCTCAATCGTTATAAATAAAACATGATGTAATTTTTGGTAAAGTGACTAAAATAAGTTTCTCTTTTCATATTTTCTACATAAAAAATAAAAACATTTATCACAGCAATGTTTTATATATGTACAAAAGACAAATTCCCCGTATGGCCTTTAACAGACTGTGAGGGCAAGTGCTGTTAGCGAGCAGCTTTGAACGCCGGAACGGTACACAAGGGGGTGGGTGGCCAGCACCACGCCCGACCGCCTTTGTTTCTCCAGTAGCGATGCTTATACAACGCACCAGGTACTCATTTTAGGCTGCGTTTACGTAGCGGAGAGGCCTAAGACCTGTTCAGATAATATTCACTGGTGTTGTCCGTGAGAGGAGTCCAACTCAGGTCACTGGCTTCGTAGCACAGTGCCCTAACCTCTACACTATCGCTCCCCACTTTATATATACACACACACACACAAAGAACACAGTGGGATATCTACTTCTCAGCATGAAATGGTGATAAATCGTGTGCAGGAATGCTGGTCATGAACTCTGTGAAGTCCACGTGAATGTAATCAAGTGGAATATCAGCGAGGAATGTTTTGTCTTTCGTTGCTGCCTTACTTTTATCTCGTCACAGAGACAATGGCGATGCGAGAGCAGACAAAGCCGCAGGTGCGTGGGTATCACTGGGGCTGCGCGTTTATACCGTGCGTCGCGCAAAAATGAAAAAAGCAAAGTCCGTAACCAGGGAACGTCGGGTTTAAACCGCTGTGAACTTGACACTGCGGCACGGAACCAAAATCTGCGTGCGTTTTTCAAGCACTAAACAAAAACACGAGGTTGGGTTTAAAAGAGCAAAGCGGGGGTTTGAAGGGGGGACATGAAAGGCGATGCAACAGGTGTACGAATCCATGCCTAACGAATGTCCGCCCCAACCCCCGCCGTCTCCGTTTCCCCGACCCTTCTATCGCCTTTTCCCACCAACGTTATCGCCCGCGAAGAATTGTTCCCCCGTGTCACGCAGAGGCCAGACCTATTTACGTCTTGCTTGCTTGCCTGCCTGCCTGCCCGCCCGCCCGCCCGCCTGCATACCACAAAGTTCGCTTTACCCACAGTTTGACCCCGAAGTGCGGTGTGCTCGCCCTGTTGATGCTCCGCATCTCGTGGCCTCTGCTCACTTATTCGCGCCCGCGTTCAGGCCGGGACGGCACTCGCGACAGCGCTCGTAAAGCTGCCCGGGTAAATTCTGGCGTTCTGTATTTATCGAGTCTCGCGTGTGTGCGCGGTTCAGTTGTCGGAGCGTGTGGGAGTGTGGGTGGATGTGTGTGTGTGCGCGCGCGCGTGTGTGTAGGGATTTCTTGGGTGTGTGCGTGCGTGCATTTCTGCACGTTCAACTGGAAATGTATTAATTAATGACGTATTATTATATATTAAACCCGGCATTAAAACAGCACCTTGCAATCTAGGGAATGGCATTTGAATAAACATACAAACATGAAATAACCTTTCATAATTTTCTTCATGCACTGCATCAGCGGGGGAGCCGTGGTGCAGTGGGACCCAGACGAAATGACGACCAAAGTTCGATGCCCATCCATGGCTAACATCGCTGGCGAGCGATAATCTAACCAGTCTTGGTAACCGCCTTCTCTAACCCGCACTGACCGGCATGAAGGATGGTCAAACAACTTTCGCAACCACTACGGCATGGGGAGGCCATCATCAAGCAGTGGCTTTATAATGGGCTGTAAACTACAATTCATGATTTATCTTCACACTGCTCTATGCAGTTTGGCAGTGTTTTCAAATGTGTTCAACAGGGACAGAACAGTACAGCCTACATATCTGTCGTACATGTACTGTATATCAACCTAGGTGGTAATTAATGCCTTGGACGGTGACATGGCCTTAGCGGTAATACATTCACCACTTGTTGCAGAGGCTCATGGTTCGGAATAAGCGAGTACCCTGGTTAATACTGAAGCAGAAGATTAGTGCTGGATACAGTCACATTTGCACTTGCGAATTGTAACTTTGATATTTAACTGTGTAACGATAGTTCAATGTTAATGTGCCATTTATTGCGGGACTACTGCTGTGTGGTGTTATTTTAGTGTGGCCTGGGACTGTTTTGTTGTTGTTTTTGCGGCCTTTCCCAAGGTTGATAAAGCGGACTTATATAAATGATTTATTACGTATTAACTTATTTCGTTACTTGCTTATCATTTTCTCTATTTTGCACTTTCATCCTTTTTTGGTTTTGTTTACTGTTGTAACTTGCTGACCCCGCCCATATAGGACACCGGTGAAAAAGAGCTTCATAGCCCATCGGATTCCTCAAGTCTAAATGAAGATTCTGATTCTGAATACTGCAGGTGTAATAACTGTGATAATACTACGTGCCATCTGCTACACAGTGGACGTTAAAGATCTCCTGCCATTGTCCACAAGAGAAGGCCAAGCAGTACAAATTTGCCAAATTCTAAGCTTACCCAAAAATTACTCAATTGGGATTATACGTAGTAATTACCGCCCCCCTGATGCCAGACGAATGCCCCTGGTCACTGCGTATAGTGCATGGATAGGTGACCACTATGCATGAAACACCAAGTTTCAGGCTGCTTCATTGCTACGTTATAGGCAGCAGAGGTCAATGCAGCAAAATCTATTTTTGTACAATTCTCCCACATCTCTGCTCCCCACCTCCACCAACCCGCACCGGACAGCACGGTGAAGTATGGTCAAACGACTCCCACGAATCGCGTTGCAGTGTGGGCCAAGCAGTGTACATGCATGCAACAATCTCGAAGGCCAATGCAAATAAAATGTAAACATTTCACGCAACCGACCTCAAGTGAAAAGTGACGCCTACATTAAAATGTGACGCTGCATTGCAGCCCTGCACTTCTGTTGAAGGTCGCAACCAAATGAACCGAGGCGTTAAACATGTTACGTGCAAGCCCAACAACAAAATAGTTGTGCTATACTGTGGCGCCCTCTGCTGATCAAGAAAGCCTTCAGAGTGCACGCTCCGGCTCCGAAAGGAGTCCCCGTCCTGACGCTACTGCTGGCTCACACCAACATGGTGCAAATTCAGCAATTAAGCCTGAGCTCGTGGCGATTTAACCAACACGGTCTTGTGGTATTATCGCCCACTCGGCAACAGCAGTTGCAGCAACGGCGCTAAATGACCACGCTAAGCTTCACCACGATACAAAATATATCTGGATTATAATCCAATAATTAATAGAAATGACTGGAGATGACTTTCAAACGGCCTGCCCTGAAGTCACCCTGTTAGTTTCTATTGTTGGTGCGAAGCAAAAATATCTCCTCCTCCGCAGCAGCTCAGAAAAGCTGCACGCCCCCACATAAATAGCAGCAGCCAGTTCCAAGCGGTGTAGCTGTTTGACCTTTTGCAATGGAATCGCCAGTAGGTGGACGTCATGCTACACACACACACACACGTCGAACCGCCGAGACCAGACTCCCACCTCCTCGCGTAGGTAACAGGAGCGCAAGCAGAGAGCCCTTTCACATCTGGATACGCATCACTGGAGCGTTCACACAGGCTGTGGCTGAGCCGGTTGTGTCTGGATACAAAAACCGGAGCAGAATACGGTGCTGAATTTTCACATGCCGGTTGCTTCTCTCCGCACCCAAAACTTGTGCGGCACGTGGTCTTAGTCCCCCTGGGCATACGAGGCACCGAAAGCCACTTCCAGTCCTCTGAGGGTGGTCGGAAGTCTTCCTGTGTTCGATCCCTCCTTCGGTAGCCATTCCGTCACCAGTATGTTATAGCATTGGTTGAATAGGCTTACAGCCTGCCGACTCGGTCCAGGGTGTTTCCTTGCTGAAAACTAAATTCTTTAGCGATCGACACAGATGTCTGTCCATCTATTAAGTGCTTATTTTATTAAATATTTGAAATTCACCCCAATCCATGTTGATGCATAACCTGTGGCCTAACCCGGCAAAGTGAGGCCAGAAGCCGCATGAAGGCAAATTGCAACTGTTTTTGTTTGATGTGTGTGCAAGCCACTCCCCAGTGTGGGTGGAACATACGCGGCATTAACGCGTGTTCAGGCGCATGTGCATCGTGCATGCACGGACAGGTATGTATCACGCATGCGAACATGTGATGACTATGCGGTATATACGTGAAATTAACGTGTGTGGTGTTTAGTCAATATGTGGCACGAATCTGTGCCAAGTGCGTGTGCATTACGTGTGACGCATGTGTGTGGTGTAAGGGGAGCAGTGGTACAGTGATTTGCGCTACAAACTCGGCGACCCGAGTTCAATTCCTGCTCATGCCAAATACCAGTGGTGATTATTTAACCAGTCCTTGGCCTCCGTTAGGTCGACTAAGCCTCAAATGAGCATCTGGTACAATTGCTGCTTATGTGCAGTGTGTGCACGCGTGCACATGCACGTGCTGCCCTGCCCACGTGCCTGCTTCATGGCCATCTGGCCGATCTTGTCCGAGTGCTTGCGGATGCTCTCCAGGAAGTCGTTGAGGTCGGACATGGAGACGTCGCGAATCTCCTGGCGCAGTCGGGGCAGCGTGTCGAGCATGAGGCGCGAGAAGCGGTACTGGGACACGAGTGGCAGGTACTCCTGCTCCAGCACGTCCAGCATCTTCAGCGCCGGGTAGTACCTGCGCACACGTGCAGAACCCGCGACTTTCGCTCACCGCACTTCACTCGGGAGTTTTTTGTTTTTGTTTTTACGCGCAGACTTGCGCAACCAATATTATCCATAGTATTTAAGAGCAAACCAGTAAGACTTCTTCACAATTCTGGATAATTTCCTGATGAGACTGGTTGTAATTAATCACCAGCTAAACGTCTCGTACTCCAATTGTAAATATCGTGGGTTTACTCTCTAACATCACCCGACATAGCCAATTAGTAATGTTTGTCACGTAAACAAAACATGCCAATTTTCTAGCACACCGGGTGTGGGAGAGTAAATTGTAAACGTTGTGGGTTTACTCACCAACACACCGGTGTGCTAAACTAGTAATTGTCACGTTTTTTTGTTTACGTGACAAACCTGACTAATTGGCTGTGTCGGGTGGTGGTGGTGTTTAAGGACGCATTTATATTTACGTGATTCAACCCAAAAACAACTTGATGCGTAGTTTTCAATTTCACTAATTTTATCATGTTCACACTATCGGCAACGTGTAAATGTGACGAAGCATTTCATTCGGAACTCTCACGGAGCAGGAGCATCACCCTGTGTTGTAAAGAATGATCTGCAGGAGGCCGTACCACAGAACTGCTTCCGAAATCTCTTCAAGTGACTTCTCATCAACAGCCCCTGCTCAGCATTGCACATTTTCCCCAATTCTAATATGAATATACACTTTCAAAGTAACACAGCTACGTGCAAATTCAAACGGTGACCCGCACAAAGTGTCCCTGTTTCATTTAACGAAGCCAGTCCCTTTTGACAGGTCAAACTCAGAGTCAAGGAAATTGATGACGCAGGTTTATAAGCTACAAGCCTAATATTCAAGACAAAACATAATGTGAACGCCACTTGCTCCACAGATGTCCAATTACTCATGCAGCCCATGGCTGCTTTGCTAAGTCAACCATAAAGTGCTTTAACTTGGTACATTGCAATAAGCCCAACCAGCTTTTACTAAAGTCTGTATTCCTGTATCCTCCGCAAACACTAATGCATTCTACTCTTAAGTCACTGCAAAACCCGCACACCAGGTAACATTGCAACAATGACTCAAGGCATATGGTGATGCCTTTAACATTACTTCAACAAACCCTGTTGATATTAAAATTAATAACTTCAGCTAAAATTGCACAAGTAAATTCAAGAGGGAAGACGCGTATGAATTTGTCTTGCTTAATATGTTTACAGCGTTGTATAACTTTTTGATGAATTTTGCATCACACATTATTTAAGTTGACAAACTTTGGTATTTTTCCTCGGTAACCCGGCGATTTAAAATGTTTGCCACCACACGAAGACGAAATAATATTGGAACAGGGCCCCAGTCCTCGATTGACCTGGCCAGAAACACAATAACCCTTCCTCAAATCCATTTCCAGCTCTTTATTTCACGGTGTTTTTTGTTATTAAACTAGAGCCCCGAACAAAGCGCGAGCGATGGGGAGAGGGGAGTACAGACATTCCGTGTACAATTAGTCCGAGGCCAGGTGCACACGGGGCAGGGAACAGGGAAGGTGGCTGGACTCACTGCCCTACTCGTCCAAGGGCACCGTTCGAGAAAGTGGTATTTTTCAGGGTGGGGAGGAAAGATTAAGGAGGGCGAGGGGGGGGATTGCAGCCCTTAAACGGTTTCTTAGGAGGAGCAGGGGCACAGCGGTGAGCAAGAAGCGCTATGAACCTGGTTCCCCGAGTTCGATTCCTGGCCATGGCTAACGTGAGTGGAGAGTGAATTCTGGACCGGTCCTGGGTCAGTCTCTTCATCGACCCACACTGAGCAGCGTAGATAGATGCGGATCAAACAACCCCCATAACTGACGCGACACGGTGAGGCCTTCATCCAGAAGTGGGCTGCCAAAGGCACGTAAGTGATTGTGATTAATTACTTTTGAAGTAGTAACCACAGTTATTGAATTGACTTACCTTTTTGCTTTCATTTGCTCTTTAAGCTTGCTGTACATTTCCAATACTGAAAATAAATATCAAGGGCATTAAACGACTATTACAGTGGTGAAAAAATTCAACAATGCTAAGAAAAAGAATGACAAAAATCAATAATAAACTTCAGTTTTATGAAGACAGATTTTAAAGAGGCATCTTTTGACACAAATGTGATTTCATTAAGTAAAAAACAAAGTGCTCGGCAAAGGCAAATACAATGAACAAATAAAACACACGAGCCAGTGGTCATAGCAGCTTTAAGCTAATATGCTCTAACTTTCAACAAACAAAGAGTGAACTTCAGCTGACCCACTAAAAGCTTGTTTTCTGTTATGACGAACAGGCAACAACAAGCTTGTCACTGGTGAAGATGCTATGGCGGAGCTTATTTACTGTTGGTCTATTTACCGGGCACAAGGTCAGTGCATTTCCTGTCCATCAAGGGGAAGTTCTATTCGCCAAATTTTCTAAGACATCGATGCTATGGTTAAAAAATAATGGGTCATCCACTACATTGGATGGAATGCAAAATGTCAAGTAAAAATGTTACCGCCCATCATAAAACACGGCCGGACATGGTGTAATTTCAGTACTTTGGCAACTAGGGTTGGTGGATCGTGCAGAGAATTGTGAAATTCTCAATCATGCTAGGTTGCGGTGGGGGGGGGGTGCATGAAATGGTGGTACACCACGTGGATTCTTGAATGCATCTGTGTGGAACTAATTGTCAGTCGCTCATATAACTAGCCTTGCTCGAGGTACTCAGGTTTCATCCAACATGCCAAATGCTCATGAATGAAAGTGGCCAAACAACCCAAATTCAGAACACTAATGAAGCCTTTATTAGTATTATTAATAGTACACATTTTATTAAAATAACAGATTAATAAGTTATTTTCATTAAATTCATGGTTTTTTTTTTTAATGGCATATATTTCATTTAAAATACTTAATCGTTATACTAATGACTGCTGCTGCACAGCAGCACCTATTTAACGCAGCTGACTAATCAATCGTCATCTTAAGCATAAAAGTATTCTTTTTTTATAACTATATAACCTTCCCTCCTTGACTACCAAGTGGCCAGCCTGTAAGCAATGCCTAACCTACCACCAGTAAAACCACCAAAGACCTCACTTTAATCGATACCTACTTGAGTAGAGCAAACAGCTGGTAAAAGTAAACGAAAAAAGCCTGTCAAGTCACTCAAATTAATCAGCCACTCTCTCCCATCCCCAGTCCCTAATTGCAAAGCAAACTTACAGATCAACGTCCAAAAAAAAAAACAAAGCCTCCCTTCTGGTTTTTTTTCCGATCGATATCCCTGGCGGCAGCAGCAGCAGCAGCAGCGCAACAACGCGGCTCATTCAACGCCTTATCGCTGCTGCAGCCGCCCATTAAAGGGCGCCGTTACCTTGATTCTTGACCTTCCATCGGGCAGCCACTGGTTTACGCTCAAGATAGCCCAGCAACACCACAGGTGTGCCCCTGCTCACCGGGCAGGCAGAGGTTGAGTTTGTCGACCGTGGTGGCGATGTTCCGCTGCTGGACTCGACACCGCGTCAGCTCCTCCATCTCTGTCACGAGCTGCGGGGGGGGGGGGGGTCACATCCCCATTGCACGAGGCAGCCTCAGCGTGGACAGGGCCACCAACCACTTTACGGGCTCGGCGCTAGCTTTCTGTCCACGTGTGCATGCGTGTGTAAGGGGCATCACTTTCCTACCTAAGCGGCCATAGACTGTAATGTCCATCGGGTGACAATGAAAACCAGAATTTTTATATTCACAGCTGGAATGAAGCCAAGTAAAGTGTAAAACCAATTTAGCTACGATGGGTTTTTTTCTACTGCAACCATTGGTGATTGAGATGAGATCATCAACTCGCTACACTTGAGAACAGGTTTAATCACAGGCAACTGGCAACATTCAAACCCAGAATCTCAGTGGTGCCAGCTCAGTGCACTGATCTCTGAGCCACCCGGTGACCTCCCATTGGCATATTTTTTTACTGTTTTCCCCTAAAATTTGTTTTATCCATGGCCTAAAATGTCACTTTAAAACAAATAATGTCAGCTCCAATAACAATGTTGGCAAGCTAATTTAAGTGCTCATTATTTCTTTTCAAAGTATAAATAACTTGTATTAGAAAAACAGCATTTAAGTGTCACATTAGAGGGTTCACAAAGTCAATGGGTCTACGAGAAACAGTATCGTTTACGTCTCTAAAACTAAAGAAAAAGTGTGTTAATGACCGTGTATAATGCAAGGAAGTTGATAAATCCTTATCCTACCTCCTTTCCAGCTTCCTGCAGTTGTTTATTGGTGGCAACGACTTGACACTGCAAGGAAATCGGAATGTAAAACAATCTACCCATATTTCCCTTTCATTTCCAAGTGACCTTTCACAACAGGCAACATAATTTTAGCAGAGAGCACATGGTTTACACAATGAGACCCAGAATCAATCACAGAAGACTGCGTAAAAATAGCTACGTGCAAAAACAAGCTTATTTAAAGATGCATACATAAGGCATGAAACGACGCCCATTCATCAACTACATTTGATCCTTACGCTCACGGAACATGGGTCGAATTGTGGGTGCGATAATAGATTATTTACAATTCACCCAAATCATATGTAAACGGTGAAGCTAATTTTTAAGAAGATAGAAACATCCATTCGTCCATGAGTCCACTCACCCATACCACCCGAAGTGGCATCACTTTTGCGGTTGCAATTTCTCGACGTGACCAAAAACAGTGAATTCTATGATAACCATTTGAAATTAGTGGATTATCATCTAATTAACGATTATTAAGTGTATAAATAAATAAGTATTACAAATGTTTGGTTACCTTACGTGGTACCAAATCTGCTCTAGTCCATGGACAACATCGTCGTACCATACGGCTTCACCAACCCACACTGACCAGCATGGCGTTGAGTGGGGTCAAACAGCAGCGTGGGGAGGTCGTCACCCAGCAGTGGATTGACAAAAGGGCACTAAATAAACATGCGCATATAGCTGCATGCGACGTGTATTAAACACTGCTAAAACTAACCTGTGCAGTGACATGTGCTCAACAAAAAGATGACCGGTAAATATGATTAGTGGGTCAGTGGTAATTCAGCCCTCCCAATGATTGTATGAATTGTTTGTCTACAGCACGAGCCATTTTGTGCACAAAAAGACCCCCCATATAGCCTTAACAGACTGATAGGGCAAGTGGCGTTAGTGGGCACCTATGAAGGCCGGCACAGCACACAAAGAGGAAGGTGGCCAGTACCATGCTCGGCCGCCTTTGTCTCCCTAGTGGCAATGTTTACGCACAGCACCAGGTACTAATTTGAGGCCGAGTCGAACCAGGGGAGGCCCAGGACCAGTTCAAATATTCTCCACTGTTATTGGTCATGAGCAGGAATCGGAACTCGGGTCACCGGGTTTGTAGCGCAACACACACATGACGCGCACACACACACACACGTACGTTACGAGCACACATACGCATACACATTACGCGCACACTCGAAGGCAGTGCTGGCGCCAGCGACTGGGTTGGCGCGGTCGTGAGCCGCGGTTGGCGAAGAGCCGGGACTCACCTTCACCTTCCCGGCCTCGCTGCGCACTTTGAGCAGTTCCGTGATGGAGTCGACGAAGCCCTGGTAGTGGAAGTTGCACATCTTCTCGATCTCGCGGTCATGGCTCTTGATCCGAGCCTCGAGCTTCTCCAGGAAGCGCTGGTGCTCCGCGCCATCGTACACCGACCTGTGAGACACAGTGCCAAATTTTAAAGAAAATAATTATAGTCACTTTTAAAGGGCCGAGGTCAATCACCTGCATCTGAAAACGTAGTTGCTTTGTTGGTCTATGTCCATGGTCCCTTGGCCGGTACAAAAGAATGTGGGGCTGATTGGACTTGCAAATAGAGGACAGGTACCAGCGGTGTCAATATCGGCCTCTTTGGAAGAGGCTCGTGAAGGACGCTGCTACTGGGCAGTTGGAGGCAGTCGCCCTCCAGCAACGACAGAGGGCGGGGGAGCGACGCTCACAACAACGAGCTGAGTGCCAAGCAGCTAAAATGCAGCAAGTCGGCACAGTAGCAAGCACAGTTTGTGCATCTGCCAGTCATCTCACACAGTCAATCCATGGCACCTGGGTCTGTCCCATGACCTCCTGCCAGCGAGCCTTCACCACTTTCCGTGGCCTCAAAGTACACCTAGCATGGCACAAGCGCCATGGTGACGACACCGCCACTTCATATAGAATGGCGGTTATTATTGGCTGGTGTTTAGGTGCTGTAGTCAACATCTACATTTTATATGGCTCTCGTTTTGTATTTTACACATTATCTTTTACCAAAATTTCATTCAGCATGTACATCAAGTAATTTAATTCACGCACTGCAGGGGGCAGCACCTGTTTGCCAAGACGAATGCAAACTGCGCACTGGTCATGACTCACGTTTAAATTGTTTGAAAAAGTGCTCGTGATTTGTCACAAAAGCAATGACATCAAAGTCAACGTAATTAACGACAGAGATTTCCCCCCCCCCCCCCCAAGTCCATTAAGATTGTGTTATCGGTGTCATCACACAAGATGAAGAATTAATCCATTCGGATTGCTTGCAGAGCAGTGAAATGTTCAACGTTCGAGAACAACCCATGGAAATTATACCACAGATATACTTCTGAGATCCCTTCGGGTGAGTTCTGTTATACACGGCAAAGGGCAGCAATTCCCTAGAGCTGCAATGTAGTCAAATTAAGTTTCGAACTATACTTTATAAAAGAGATGTATTGTGCCTTCATTGGTGACCGGCTGAGACCATCAACTCACTACACTTGCCTGGATTTGAACCCAGAACTGCAGCAGTGCCAGCACAGCGGAATGGCCTCTGGCTACGCTTCAATGTCCATCTGGCTACGCTTCATTCTTTAAAAAAGGTATCTGGTCCACAGTTTATTGATTTAAACATTTTTTTCTGGATGACATTCCTCCAAGAAGCTCGTAGGCTGATACAGACAGAAGTATATAAATGCTAAAGTGCTGGCAGCCAAATATCCACAATTCAGGGCCATCCTGAAAAAATAAGTCTTCTGGATCAGTTACGCTTTCCTACATAAATATTTTCCATTATTATCCAATCACTCGTAATACCAAAGTGGTCGACTGATCATCGCTGATGCTGATAATGAATGCTGCACGACAGGGATAATGTATTTTAACAACGTAAAGGTCGAATCCAATACGGGTTCAGTGCTTCAAGAGCGCCGCCTGCTGGCAGTGTTTTTTTAATATCGTCACGGTCAGAAAAACACTGCCTGGTTTTGATGTTCAGCATGACCTGTTATTTGTAGTGCAGCACTGTTTAGTTTTTGTCTGCAGATGTGCCTGGTTTGGAGCGCAGCGCTGGCTGGTTTATTAGCGCAGCGCTGGCTGGTTTATTAGCGCAGCGCTGCCTGGTTTTTTGCGAAGCGCTGCCTGGTTTTAGCGCAGCGCTGCCTGGTTTGGTGTGCAGCGCTGCCTCATTTGATGTGCAGCGCCGTCTGGTTTGGTTGTGCAGCGCTGCCTGGTTTGGTGTGCAGCGCTGCCTGGTTTGATGTACAGCGCTGCCTCATTTGATGTGCAGCGCCGTCTGGTTTGGTTGTGCAGCGCTGCCTGGTTTGGTGTGCAGCGCTGCCTGGTTTGATGTACAGCGCTGCCTGGTTTGGCGTGCAGCGCTGCCTCATTTGATGTGCAGCGCCGTCTGGTTTGGTTGTGCAGCACTGCCTGGTTTGGTGTGCAGCGCTGCCTGGTTTGATGTACAGCGCTGCCTGGTTTGGGGCGCAGCGCTGCCTGGTTTGGTGCGCAGAACTTCCTGCTTTGGTGTGCAGCGCTGCCTGGTTTGATGTACAGCGCTGCCTGGTTTGGTGTGCAGCGCTGCCTGGTTTGATGTACAGCGCTGCCTGGTTTGGTGTGCAGCGCTGCCTGGTTTGATGTACAGCGCTGACTGGTTTGGTGTTCAGCGCTGACTGGTTTGGTGCGCAACGCTGCCTGGTTTGGTGCACAGAACTTCCTGCTTTGCCGTGCAGCGCTGCCTGGTTTGATGTACAGCACTGCCTGGTTTGGTGTGCAGCGCTGCCTGGTTTGATGTACAGAACTTCCTGCTTTGGTGTGCAGCGCTGCCTGGTTGTTGCGCTGCACTGCCTCCTTTGGGTTGCGGCACTGCCTGATTTGGCGTGTGCTCGCCGGGCTACAATGTATCAACACGGCAGTGTGCTGCACATTAGCCATCTCGTGGCCAACTGAAGAAACACAATTTAAGAAAAATAATTCAGGCGTGTCCTGGAGAAAGTTGAAAATATATACATTTTACAATGTGCACAGCCCTTTGCCAGTTCACTGCTGACTGAATGCCTCCACATGTGGTGTCGGTCGTGAGGGTTGTTGGATCATACTTCACCATGCTGGTCAGTTAGGGCTAGTGGAGGGGGGCGACCCAAGACCGGCTCTAATATCACTCCCCACTGCTGTTAGCCGTGGCCAGGAATCGAACCCGCATCACAGGAATTAATAGTGCAGCGCGCTAATAAGTGCACCGCCACTTCCCCTCAACTTCCTTGTTTTATACAACCCATGCAAACTTCACTGGAGCATTTTACGATCCACTTGTCATTGTTTTTTTTATTGTATAATTCCCCACAATGTGGCGGCACAATGGGTACAATGATTCAATGTTTTCATGGACTTAATCCACCTCCTCTTAACAACAGTCGACTTTCGGGGCAACAAGCGACTGCGGGGTTATCAAGTGTTTCCAGGCTCATCCCTCATTTGTCGCGGAAATAACAATCAGTGCCGCCACATGACCTGCTGTCACCATTACCTTACAGGGTGTAAATTAACTGTGAGGTTCGGGACTAACATACCATTTTAAAGGGGTGTAGCATAGCAGAATTGCTATTCATAGAAACGCATAAACGTGACAAGAAACAACAGCAAGGGTAGTGCAGCAAGACATTGTGCAAAATAAATATGAAACTTGATCGTGTACAACAAATATGCAACAATTAACCTCCCCCAGTATCACAACAAATCATTATAATTCGGGGTGGTCATTTCTTTGATTGATTAATTTATCTGATTTTTTTTCCCCCATCTCATTTGTCTACTCGGCTCTGTCTCATTCTGTCCTGTTTATTACATCGGCCTGAAAGTAACGTGAGCATACAGTTGGCAAAAGTCATAAATCATCCATTCACACTCACGATATGATACGTGCGATATCAGTGAGTGGTTGAATTATTACATGCCCCACATGTAAATTCTATGTAAGTTTTGCAATATTTCATTCGAGAACAAAAGTTAAATGTCTTGAGATGATTAACATGACATAGCATTGGATAAGTCTGAGATAACACTCCTGCCGTGTACACTGTCATAAAGTTGTGTATGTATGTTGAACTTCTATCGCACCGTACGTAGCAAACCGTGCTAATCGGAGGAGCAGCAGAAAAGCCGACATCAGAACCTTTCTTTTTTCTGTTGGCACCTGAATATTTGCGATGAGCGATTTCACACCGGATCGGCAGAAAAGAAAAAAAACACAGTTTTTGTGCCCGTAATTGTGAGTTGAACTGAACGCTCAAGTGCTGGGGACATGCCCATTACAGTGTTATTATTATTACTACTACTCGCTGTGACCAACACGTACCGCATCAACCTTGTTTTTGTTTTGTCTGTACGCGTACTACCACAATAAAGAGGTATTACGGTCGCTGCCGACTTCTCGACAAGTATGCGCGGCTAATAGCATTACGACACCGCGCTGTAAATAACATGAGTAATGAACATCCTGTTGTTGGCCCCAACAGCCACAGATTAACAATGTATTTGCGCTGGACAGGAACACTTTGTTGCCAATGATAACTTATCCTGCCCCAAAGAACATGCACTTCCCACGTCCTTGCGGAACCACTACCAGCGAATTCAATGCAGATTCTTCCGTTTCAAAACAAACGCCGCTTATTTTACCAAATTCGCGCAGCTGTGAATCACAGATGCATTTGCGTGACCCGTATCTGATAATGCGCATCGTAGAGTGCAAATATAAAGTGTCCTGTCGTGTTCGCTGTGCTTTCAGTGACCAAACTAAAACAAGCTGACGTTACCCAACAGAGCACGTGTGATGTTAGCTAAACAAGAAAACACAACGCAACTGGTATTGGCCAAACATCTCAATGCTAACACAAAATGCACCTGCAAAACACTCTATTGGAATTACACACAGAGAAAATGCCGCCTTTACTGCAAAAAATAATAACTGAAAGAACTTTAAAAAAATTGTCTTGAGACTCAGTGAGGCTTTCCTGGGTGAACAAGACATAATAACAAATGCTTGTAATGGGTTTTTTTAAAGTATAAAATGATGCAGTCTTTTACAATGGTTGAGGTTGGTAAATCATTTCGCTGGCATCAGGGCATCAGCAGCTGCTTGGGCAAGAAGACAACAACCTTGCCAGGGTCTTCCCTGTCACGTGTCAAGTCACAAACTAACGTCACGAAATCGGCGACTGAATGACGACGGTCATCATCCTCCGGGTCAGGTCAAACGCTTGAATATCTGTGGACTGATTATCTGGGTGGTGGATTAACTGTGCTTTTGGAAAAATAAATGAAAATAGAGAATAGGGTATTCCACGCCTTATGCGCATGCGCCAAATTCTATTATTAGCCGCTCGTGACTCTGTGACCGATGACTTTAATAAACAGCAGAACACGACACA